TTGTCTTGGCAACTGGCACCACCTGCCAGTCTGAGGTCTCCCCTTCATCCCTCCATACCCAGCCAAATCTAGAGCCCTTGGGGTTCAGCCTTTATCATCCCTCTTGTGATCTGGTCACCTCTCTGTTTTATGCTGCTGCTGCCTCCAGCCCATGACTCCAGCCTGAGTTACTACCACCTCTCCTTCTGGCTTTCAGCTTCCTTCCCCTTCCATCCCAGGCTTAAAAGCCCTCCAAGGTACAGACTGACATCCTGCCCACCAGGTCCCTCCGACCACTCCAGGTTCACACTCACACTCCCCACGTGGAGGCTTCGCTCTGGCACCCTTAACCTCTCCTCACTTCCTGGGCTCCATTCTTGCCCCACAGAGGCTTGGATGCCCACTTTCCCTCTGCCAGAATCTCTGACCTACTGTGCACAGCCCTGGGGAAGAGACACTTGAAGGTATTGCCCTCTGACCCTCACTCCCTTTGCATCAGGAGCCCTTCTATCCTGGAAGTACCATCTTGTCTTGTCACTTGCGTCATTACATTCAAATCCTTGGTTTCATGCTTGTTTCCACCACCCCCACTCCCACCCCCCGCCCTGGGTTGGATGGTTAAATTTGGAGGCGAGGGCTGTGTTTCTCAGACATAAGTTGACTGTTCTCAATTAGGTGTCTCCCAAAGAGTGGGGATGTAGTGGGGGCCTTCTCCGGTTGGTACAAGACAGAAAGTGCCAACTTGGCTGAGGGCGGGTCTCACTTGTAGAAGAATCACTCATTGCAGAGTCCTCTTCTGGGGCCTTGTTTTGCTGTACCGGTCTCACTCCTTTGCTTCCTAACGGGATGCAGAGACCTGCCAGTTAATATCTCACTGTGGTACTCCCAGAGTCTGAAATTACCTTGTTAGGCAGGTGACTAATTTGTACTTGTTTCCTTTTCTGTAAAATGGGTGCAATAGGTCCTATTATCTCACGCTTGCTGAGACCTAAATCTAAGTAAAGCACTTTAAGATAGTAATTGGCATTACTAGTGTTATCAGTCTTCTTGAGATGGGTGGTAACTTCTTTCCCTCTTGCTAGGCAGGCTCTCTACCACTTGAGCCACTCCACCAGCCCTATTTTGTGTAGGATATTTTCCAAGGCTGGCTTCGAACCTCCATCATCCTGATCTCTGCCTCCTGAGTAGATAGGATTACAGGTGTGAGTCACTGGTGCCGTGCTAGTTCTTCCTTCCCTCTTGTGATTAGCAAAATTGTGAGCGAGTCCTCCTGGTCTCCTTCCACTTACCTTCCGGGGAGAAATATTCCGACCAGAAAGGATTGGAGGGTACAACTTCTCTCTGATGCTCGTGTTGCTCAGTGGGTACTGATGACCTGCCGGGCACTGTGTCCAGTACTTCTCTGTCGTCAGTCCTATGAAAGTAGCATGTGTTGCTGAGCCCCCTTTTACAGATGGGAAAGAGGCTAAGGGGAACTGTGGGAGTGGGCAGAGCTCAAGGCTATCCTAGCTCAGATTCCCATTCAGCATCTCTGCTGCAGTCCTTCTGGCTGTGGGGTTCTCTCTTCAAAGGAAGTGAGGAAAAGAATTCTGAGAGAGAAGTGAAAGGCTGGGGAGAGCTTGATGAGCTGCTGCTGTTGAAGGGGGAAGAGAGCACGGAAGCTCAGAGTGCCTGAAATACCCAGGCCGTGCCCATGCCCCTCCCTTGTTTACTGGATCTCTTGCCTTTTTGCTTTCTCTTTCTCTTCCATGTCCTAGTGCGCTCCTTGCAGTCATCTTAAAAAATGTCAGTCAGAGGAGCAGGGTGGCTAGGAGAGGTTGCCGGAGGGTGACAAGGGAGCCTGGAATTGAAGCCCACTGGCTAAGCAGAAGGCATTACAAGCTGGAGGCACGGCCTAAGGGCTAGAGCACTTGCCCTGCATGCTGAGGCCCTGGGACTTCATTCCCAGCGCCACCACCAAAAAGGAAAACTCTGGTTTAGAATCTTGGTTCTCCTGCTGCATAAAAAGTTCAATTTGGAGTAGGAGCTGTAATCCTAGCTATTTGGGAGGCTTAGATTGGGAGGACAGAGGTGAGTCAATACTCCCATCTCCAAAATAACCAGAGCAAAATGGACTGGAGGTGTGGCTCAAGTGGTGGAGTCCTGAGTTCAAACCCCACTTCCACCAAAAAAAAAAAAAAAAAAAAAAAAATTCCAGTTTGAGCCAAGAACAAGCCTATATAATCCTATCTATTTAGGAGGCAAAGATCCAGAGGCCCGAGGTTCAAGGCCAGCCAGGCAAAATAGTCTCAAGACCCCATCTCAGCCAATAAACTGTGCAGTGTGATGTGCTTATCATCCCAGCTATGTGAAATAAATAAGCTGGTCTGGGCAAACCTCAAAAATCTCCAAAGCAAAAATGACTGGGGGCATGGCTCAAGTGGAAGAGCTCCTGCCTAGTTAGCGTGAGGCCCTGAGTTTGATCCCCAGTACTGCCATAAAATAAAATAAAATAAAATAAAATAAAGGTTAAATTTGGGGCTGGACCTCAAAGAGCATTTGTCTACCATGCACAAGGTCCAGGTAGTTATCATAGCCTGTGGCTCATGATACATGCTCCAGTGCTGTGTCAGAGAAGGACTGTTCACAAGAGCTGATGGTGGATTTTGTTTTTGTATTTTGAGACAGGACCTTTACATAGCAGGTTGGCTTTGATCCTCCTACTTCAGTCTTCCTGGTGCTGGAATTGCAGGTGTACACAACCAGCCTGGCTCTAATTGCAACTCTATTCAGTGCCATTACAGCATTCATTTATAAAATTGGCTATGATAAAAGTATTTAAATCACTGAAATTTAAAAAATGCTACAAACAGGGGTTTTTCTTTTTCTTTTTCAGTACTGGGGGCTTGAACTCAGGTCTGCAACTTGAGCCTCTACCAGCCCTTTTTTTTTTTTTAATGTTGGGCATTTTCTTTCTTTTTTTTTGATGGCACGGGGATTTGAACTCAGGGTCTCACATTTCCTTAGTAGGTGCTCTTACTTAAGCCATTCCACCAGCCCCTATGTTGGGTATTTTCAAGCTAGGGTCTTGAGAACTATTTGTCTGGGCTGGCTTCAAACCATGATCCTCCAGATCTCTGCCTCCTGAGTAGCTAGGATTACAGCTGTGAGCCACCTGTGCCCAGTTATTTTCTTTTTTCCACGGGACGTGGATGTAGAACCTTTACCAACCCACCAAACCAATTTATGACTGGTGTTAATAATTCTTCCTTTAAAAAGCCTGTCCAGAATTGTGCATCATGGCAAATGCCTGTAATCCTAGCACTTGGGAGGCAGAGGCAGGAGGATCTCAAATTCCAGCCAAGCTGGGCACCACTGGCTCACACTTGTAATCCTAGCTACTGAGGAGGAAGAGATCAGTAGGATCACAGTTCAAAGCCAGCCCAGGCAAATAGTTCTTGAGACCTTATTTAAAAAAAACCCATCACAGAAAAAGGGCTGGTGGAGTGTCTTAAAGTGTAGGCTCTGAGTTTAAACCCTACTACCAAAAAAAAAAAAAAGAAATGAAATGAAATTCCAGGCAAGCCTGGGCTACATAGGGAGACCCTATGTAAGTAAATAAGTAAAGTCTGATAAGTGAAATGGATATGAATGGAGCTCTACTCAATTGTAGGGAAGGCTAAGATGAATTTCTGGGTTTGGAGGAGAGTTCCAAGAAGACATCTGTATTCTCTCACCACGGACCGTTCCCTTTATGGACTGTTTTGAATATTAAAGCCACAACTGGCACTTTAAGAACTTGTAGTAGCCTAGTACCTCAAAAAGAAAAGAAAAAGAGAACTGGTAGTAAAATGAGAGTGCTGGAAGGTAATCCCTAACTGGTTACCAACACCCCTCCGAGAGATCTAAGTTTACCTAAACCATGGGTTAGGGCCCTGAAGAGAGTAAGCTGGTATGGTTCATCCCACATCTTCATTAGCTGGAAAGCAGTACTTACTTTTGATGGGACTGCGATTTGAACTCAGGGCTTTCGTATTGCACATGCGCTCTATCACTTCAGCCACACCTCCAGTCCCTAGAAAGCAGTACTTAAACAAACGTCTTAACCCTAAATAGTGGTTCCGGGCTTTGCCTCTTAAGCATATCTTGCAGGCCTGGTTCCGCTCTGATGTGCAAGGAACCTAGTGTCTGTCACATCCCAGGGCTTGCTTCCGATGTCTGCTGGGACTGCACTCCGGCTCTCGGCATGGTTTCTTGGGAGCACTAGGCATTGAGTTGGGCCAGAAGGACCTGCCTTCAGAGGACTTCACTACTGGCCTTGATAAAGTGGAACACCTTACGATGGTTATTATTTCATAACTTAGGTGGGTCCAGAGAGAGAAGGCAACTGGACTTGCTCAAGGGTACACAGCCTCCCGGGCAGGGCTTCAACTAAAGCCAAGAAATGGCCCTGGGAGCGGACTGGACTGCTTTGGGCTGTGCAAGGCAGCCCGAGCTTCCTCCCCATCCAGAAAAATAGGATGGAGGTGTCACCTTCCCATGTAGAGGGAGGCGCCCAGATCCCCAGCCGTGTTCAGGGCACAGAACCCGGGACGGGTGTATTTCCAGGCTCGCCTGTGAAGCCAGGTTACTACGAGGCCTGCACTTTCAGGGGGGCAGAGAACACCCCTTTCCAGCGCCGGGTTCCTTCTGGCGAGGGGAAGCCGCTCTGCCACCACGTGACGCATAGGCCTAGGGGAGAGGGGCGGCGCGCGGCTCGGCAAAGCCCCGCCCCTCGGGCCGCCGCGCGCCCGACGCGCGCAAATGTCCCGGGTCGGGCTGGAGAAGGGGAAAGCGGGGGAGGGGAGCGCGGCGCGGGGGGCCGGCCCGTACGTCGCGGCGTTCCTTCCTCCCGCCTCTTCGCCAGGCCCTGTGTCTCCTCGTCGCGGCTCCGCCCCCTCGTCCGGAGCCCCAGCCAATAGGGAGGCGTCGCGAGCCTCTCCGGCCGGGGGCGGGGCGTGCGCGCGGGGCCTGGCGCGCCTGCGCCCTGCCGCCCGCCCCTCGCCGTGAGGAGGAGGTGGAGGAGGAGGCGGCTCGGGGAGAGCGAGCAGCAAGCCGGAGCGCGGAGCGCGAGTGAGGGAGCCCAGCCGCCCGCCGCTGCCACCGCCTCCCCTCCGCAAGCAGGAGCCCCGGCCGGGGCACGGCACGCCGCCCCCAGCCCCTCCCTCATCGTCAGGCCGCGAGGGCAGCGCGAGCGAGCGAGCGAGCGAGGGGGTGGGCGAGAGAGCGAGCTGAGCGCCGGGAGGAGGCGGCCGGACCGAGCGGGCGCCCGCGCGTGTGGCGTGAGGGGCAGCCGCCTGCCCGCCCCCTTCGCCTTCCCTTCTCTCCCCCTCCCCACTCCCCCCCCGACCGCGGAGCAGCACCATGTCGGCGCCGGCGGCCAAAGTCAGTAAAAAGGAGCTCAACTCCAACCACGACGGGGCCGACGAGACCTCAGGTGAGGAGCGGGCGAGGCGGGGGCCGGCCGCGCCGCCATCTTCGCGCCGGCCGTGGCCGCCCACCGGCGGCCGTCGGCTGCGGGGCGCCGCGCGCGCGCGCGCGCGGGGGCGCGTGAGGGGAACGCGGCCGGGCGGGGGCCGCGGGCTCGGCGCCCTTTTTTGTGCGACGCGGGGCCGGGGGCCTGGGTGCGCGCTGTGCGCGGCGGGCGGGCTGCGCGGCAGGCGGGGGCGCTGCGGCTCTGCGTGAGGCGCGCGGAGGAGACCCCCCTTCTCCCCCCTCCCTCGCTCTCCTCCCCCTCCCTCCTCCCTCCCGAGAATGCTCTCTTTATTGTGCTCCGCCATGATGCTCCGTCCCATCAGCCGCCGCCGCCACATGGTGCGGCCGGACGCGGCCCCGCGCCCGGCCTCCCGCGCCGCGCTCCTCCTCGCTCGGCCCCCGGCGCTTCCGCCCGGTGCGGGTCCCGGCCTCGGCTAAGGGGGCGCCCAGCTGGCGCGGGGTGGGGGCGCGGGGAGCACGCGGCTGGCCTGGCCTGGGGCGGCGGGAGGATGCTCGGGCCGGCCCGGCGCCGTCCCCACGTGGGACGGCCGCGCGGAGAGTCCTCGGTGGCCCCCCCCCCCCGGGCGCCTGGCCGGCCCGGCAAAGGCGGTCTCTGCGGGGGGCTGCCGAACCCCTACGCCGCCATCCTTACCGGAAATGAGCCGCGCGGTCGGGCCCCTTCACGCCCACTTGGCTTCCTAGGGTTCACAGATTGGTTTCCTTATTCTAGTTAGCAGCTTGCACGGTTCTATGCAGATGTTTAATGGGATAGGCACTGAACACAGAATTTCTCAACAAGGGTGTTCTTCACCTTTTATAATACAGGCGACAGGACTCTAGTCTTTTGTGATGGAATTTTTAAAAGTGATACAGTAAAAAATGTTCTAAATAGCTTAGTAGATACCGTGATTTGTGAATGGTCTCAATGAAAAAGTAATTTGTCAACTGTATGCTTGAACACGTGGAGAGCATGCCTTGTAGTAGGCACTTTTTTTTTTTTTAACAGCTTTACTGTTACAGTTTTCATTTCAAAGTGTTTCTTAATGTCAGGAAGACTAGTTTGTTATAATTAGTGTTGAGTCTTACGCTTCCTTTTTTTTGCAGAAAAAGAACAGCAAGAAGCAATTGAACATATTGATGAAGTACAAAATGAAATAGACAGGTAAAGTTTTCATGATTTAGAGAAGTTTTCTGAAATGAATATTCACTAAGGGGAAAGGATTACATCTTGATTGGCAACATTATATAGATCCAGTGGATTTTTTTTTTTTTCCCCCTTCGGTAAAATTGGTACGGCCACAGGAAGATTTTGGTGAAAGTACATAGACTGTACACTGAAGGAATGATTGCGTTTTAAAAATTTTTTTTATATGAGGTGGGGTCTCCCCATGTTGCCCAGGCTGGTCTCTCAATTTCTGTGCTCACACCATGACTGTTAGCCACCCAAGTATTGGGACTACAGCCTGGGTTTGGTTTTAAAGACTACAAGTAGTTCTCTGGCAGAGGAGGACTTCTGATCATTTTAAGTTTATAGCATCAAGGCTGGGAATGTTGCTCAATGTTCAAACATGAACCTGATACTTGTAAGGCCCTGGGTTCAATTTCAAACACCCTCTCCAGAACCAGTGTCCTGGCATCAGTATTACTTGTTCTAACTTGTCTTATAATTTTGTTACTTAATTAACAACTTTATTTAGAATTCCAGATTGAGGGAGACTGATTTGGAGACTGCTTGAAAACAGAGTAGATTAAGTAAATATACAATGTTACCAGAATGTTCAGTTTGGGAACTTTAAAGAATTACTCTGTTTTGAGTGCTTGGTTGGGAAAGCAGATAGAGTTGATGTGTTAGTTTTAACTGAGTCCCTAGTTATAAACTCCATGACTCAGTTATTAGAAATAGGTGTTTTGTGCAGTCCTGAAGTAAATGAAAATAAATGTATATTCTGTAGTCTCTTTTTTCGGGGGGGGGGGCCCAATACTGGGGTTTGAACTTGGGCTTACTAGGCAAGTGCTCTACTATTTCAGCCTCCTTATCTGTCAAATAACCATTATCAACATGTATTTTTCATTTGCTTCAGACTTAATGAACAAGCCAGTGAGGAGATTTTGAAAGTAGAACAGAAATATAATAAACTCCGCCAACCATTTTTTCAGAAGAGGTCAGAATTGATCGCCAAAATCCCAAATTTTTGGGTAACAACATTTGTCAACCATCCACAAGGTATGTTGTAGGTAGGGCATTATTAAAGGATGTAGCAATTCTATTTGTTAAAGAAGGGAGGAACCTTAGTGAGGACTTGAAAATCAGTGAGGGGCAAAGACTTTCAGGTTTTGAAGAGACTTGGGAGCTCAGTTTACTTGCTTAAGAAGATAATGCAGCTCTGACACTGGACAACTTGACATTCTCTTTTTAATAATGGGTTTATTAAATCAAAGATGTTCACTAAATTTGGAAAATTAAGAGGGATCACTGAAGTTAATGTTTGCCTGTTCAAACTTTAATTGAGCTACAATTTACTGGTCTAGTGTCTGCACTGCTTGGGGAGGAAGATGAGGAGGCGCTGCATTATTTGACCAGAGTTGAAGTGACAGAATTTGAAGATATAAAATCAGGTTACAGAATAGATTTTGTAAGTACCATGATCTTGTTTGCCACTGGAAATTAATTTGAACTTTGGTAAGAAGAACTGTTTGTATTAACTTCTAATCCATTTTTTAAAAATAGTATTTTGATGAAAATCCTTACTTCGAAAATAAAGTTCTCTCCAAAGAATTTCATCTGAATGAGAGTGGTGATCCATCTTCAAAGTCCACTGAAATCAAATGGAAATCGGGAAAGGTATGCTTTTAGGAATTGTTGGGCAAAAATATCATCTTGTATATTTTGGTTTAGTTGAATCACTTAATCAGTACTTGGTTCTTTGGTAATGTGTTAGTTAAATGCAAAGCCTTAAAATACAAATTTCAATGTGTGGAGGGAAAATTCATTATCTTAGAGCTCTCATTAGTGCCACTATTACAGGTTTGTTTAAGAGTTGAAGTAAACCAGGCAACTATGGCTCATGCCTGTAATTCCAGCTACTTGGGAGTGTTGAGATCGGGAGGATCCCCATTCATTGATAGCTTAGGGAAATAGTTATTGACAAACCTCCCCCCCATCTCCAAAATAACCTGAGCAAAATGGACTGGATGCATGGCTCATGCAGTAGAGCTCCTGCTTCGCAAGCTTGAAGACCTGAGTTCAAACCCCAGTGTTTGTTTCTCTCTCTCTCTCTCTCTCTCTCTCTCTCACACACACACACACACACACACACACACACACATGCACACACACAAAAGTGAGCTAAATCTTTGTGATTTCTACATTGGTGATTGAGTTTGCCACTTACCAAAATTGGGTTTATGTGTTTTAAGACATAAGATACATAAATATATGTAGTAATAATTTAATATATTTCTTTGGCTGTACCTCGTGATACTGGGAACTGAACTGAGGACTTTGTGCTTGGTAGACAGCTGCTGTACCATTTGAGTCATATCCTCAGTACTTTGGCTTTTCATTTGTTTTTCAGAGAGGGTCTGGTGCTAAACATTGTCAGGGTTAGACTTAGACCTCCATGACTCCTATGATTGTCTTCTGAATATCTGGGATTGTAGACATGTGCCACCATGCCTCCCCATAGTATGTAATGCTATCAAAATGTTGAAGTAGATCTAATTTTAAGAAAAAGCCTAATGCAGTCTATACCTGTCTTTTGGAAAAGATTTGTGTAAAACTTTTCTTTGCTCACTGTACATTTTATTGTTTTTAGACATCAGTGAAAATACCGATTTTATTTTTTTAAGAGGGATGTCTTGTTGGGTGCTGGTGGCTCATACCTGTCATCCTAGCTACTTAGAAGGCAGAGATCAGGAGGATCAAAGTTTGAGGGCCTTCCCTATCTTGAAAAAAAAAAAAAATCACAAAAAAGGGCTGATAGAGTGGCTCAAGGTGTAGGCCCTGAGTTTAAGCCTTAGTGTCCCACCCCCCCCACCCCGGCCAAAAAAAGTGGGATATCTTGATAACTTTTTAAATTGTAGGGGTTTAGATATTGCTGAGGTTTGACATAAAAAATTCTCTTATTTTTTCATTTAGGATTTGACGAAACGCTCCAGTCAAACACAGAATAAAGCCAGCAGAAAGCGACAGCATGAAGAACCAGAGAGCTTCTTTACCTGGTTTACTGACCATTCTGATGCTGGCGCAGACGAGTTAGGAGAGGTCATCAAAGATGATATTTGGCCAAATCCATTGCAGTACTACTTGGTGAGTTAAGAGTATTTACTTAGTTGAGGTGGTACTGGTATCATTTATGTGCAAAAAAAAAAAAATAATTTTTTTAAGCTACCTTGGTGTTTTAAAGGTTCCTGATATGGATGATGAAGAAGGAGAAGGAGAAGAAGACGATGATGATGATGAAGAAGAAGAAGGATTAGAAGACATTGATGAGGAAGGGGATGAGGATGAAGGTGAAGAAGATGAAGATGATGATGAAGGGGAGGAAGGAGAGGTAAATTGACTATGCCCCAAAGATCAGATTTCACCATATTTTGAGGATTTACATAAAATGTAATGGAACTGATACAACACTGGATTTGTGTACAAGATGTTTACTAAGTACCTTTATATTAATGATTTTATTAGTTTTGCTTTTCTGGTTTTATGTTGGGTATTTTTGAGATTTGCCTGGGCTGGCTTCAAACACAGTCCTCCTGATCTTTGCCTCCTGGGTAGCTAGGATTACAGCAGTGAGCCACTGGTGCATGGCTGTTTCTTGGTTTTTGATTTTTTTGGCAGTACTAAGGTTTGAGCTCAGGGCTTCACGCTTGCTAGGCTTGTACTCTACCACTTGAACCCACTCCACCAGCTCTGTTTTGTGTTGGGTATTTTCAGGTTAGGGTCTCAATGAACTATATGCTGAGGGCTGACTTTAAACCTTGATCCTCCTGTTCTCTGCCCTCAGAGTAGCGAGGATTATAGGCCCCACTGGCGCCCAGCTATTCTATTGTTTTTTGAGACTGGCCACACTGGCCTTGAAATCAAGATCCTGGAATTATAGGTATTTGCTATAGTAGTTCCCTGCTTCTAGTTAGTTTTTGTAATTACAAAAGCTTGTCTTCACCTAGCCATTGCTTACTTAAAAAAAAAAGTGGATAGTACAGCTGGTCAGTTTCAACAATATATCAGAAATAAGAGTTTTGCATGTTGTGGACAAACTACCTACCTGGCTTTTTGTGTGTATGTGTGGTTCCGGACATGGAACCCAGGGCCTCAATCATCCTAGGTAAGCGCTTTGCCCCTAAGCTACCATCCCTGGTCCAAAGATTTTCTTCCCTTTTTTTTCCCCTCCCAGTGATGTAGTTTGAAATCAAGTCCTAATGCTTGTGCCCTACTACTAGACCCATGCCCCCAGTCCATTTTTGCTTTAGATACCAGATTTGCTACCAGCTGCTTCAGACTAGGATCCTCCTATGTTCCTATGCCACCCAGCATTGCTGGGATTATAGGGGCCTAGATTAGAAAGGTATGTGCTACCATATTGAGCCCAAGCTATAGATCGGTCTCTTTCTTTTTGGCGGTACTGGAATTTGAGCCTCAGGGCCTACCTTGAGCCACTCCACCAAGCCCCTTTTTGTGAAGATTTTTTGAGATAGGGTCTCGAACTTTGCTGGAGCTGGGTTGGAACTGAGATCCTCCTCTCTGCTCCCTGAGTAGTTAAGAGTTACAGGTGTGAGCCACTGGCACCCCGCCAAATCACAGATTTCTTAAAACAGTCAAATTAGGATAGATTGGTTTTATTTTGGATTGTTTGGTCGAAAATATACCTGACAATTTGGTTAGTGCTAATTAATCTGAAATGGTATTTTGGGTCCATCAGTCTTTATCTGATGTGAATTAATACAGTCTCAGAATTGATACCCCAGTGCATAATGTCCTCATGTTCCCTGGGTTTCATTGGCCTTCCATACAAGAGTTAAAGTTCTGTTAGAATTGGTCTTGAAAATTAACTGCCCACTTCTTCTTTTCAGGATGATGAAGGAGAAGATGACTAATACAACACTGATGGATTCCAACCTTTTTTTTTTTTTTCCTTTCTTTTTTTTTTAAAAAATTTTCTCCAGTCCCTGGGAGCAAGTTGCAGTCTTTTTTTTTTTCCCCCCCTTCTTGTGCTCAGTCGCTCTGTTCTTGAGGTCTCTTTTCTCAACACCAATGTTCTCAACTTATTTTGGGGGAAAATATCTTGCGCAGAATACGATGGGAAAAGAATTTCCACACCTTTCTGTTCTAAATTTGTTTTTATCCCTTCCTGTCTCAACAAAAACTGTATGGAATCAACATCACCACCGTGCTCTGTGGGAAAAAAGAAAACCTTCTCCCTTCACTCTGCTGGAAGCTGGAGGGGGCTAGGCCCCTGTGTAGTAGTGCATACAATTCTAGCTTTTTTCCTCCTTTCTCTGTATATTGGGCTCAGAGATTACACTGTGTCTCTATGTGAATATGGACAGTTAGCATTTACCAACATGTACCTGTCTACTTTCTCTTGTTTAAAAAAAAGAAAAAAAAACTTAAAAAAATGGGGTATAGAAGGTCAGCAAAAGGGTGGGTTTGAGATGTTTGGGTGGGTTAAGTGGGCATTTTGACAACATGGCTTCTCCTTTGGCATGTTTAATTGTGATGTTTAACAGACATCCTTGCAGTTTAAGATGACACTTTTAAAATAAAATTCTCTTCCTAATGATGACTTGAGCCCTGCCACTCTATGGGAGAATCAGCAGAACCTGTAGGATCTCATTCGGAATTGACATTCTCTATTGTAATTTTGTTTGTTTATTTTTAAATTTTCTTTTTTTGTTTTCACTGGAAAGGAAAAGATGCTCAGTTTTAAACGTTAAAAGTGTACAAGTTGCTTTGTTACAATAAAACTAAATGTGTACACAAAGGATTTGATGCTTTTCTCTCAGAACAGATATACTTGATAAGACTTCCAAGTTTGACTTGTATAATAACATCATTGTCAAACTTTGCCTCCCTAACTTCGTATTTTTTGATACGCACTTTGCAGGATGACCTCAGGGCTATGTGGATTGAGTAAAGGTATTTAAATCAATGTCTTAATGTTTCCATAGCTGAGAAACGTGGGTATAATTTGCTGCCATTCATTTCTGAAAATACTCATGTTACTTGGGATACTAAAAACTCAAAACTTGAGTTCTGAATTGTACCCTTGGTTTTTATCTCAAATTGGCATTTTTTAAAAAATGGGCCTTTATCTAGATAACATCGCCTGCCGCCACCATCACACAGACCTGTTGCTCCAATGCCAAGTTACACATGGAACAGTTGCTGTCATGTCTTTGGCACGATAAAGTGCAGCCAAGAAGATGGACTCTGAGAAGCTCATGGTGGTGGTTAGGAGTACTTTCGTCTCTTAAGCCCCAGGTATTAAGAGAGCATAAAGCTCTCACGTGCCTGAATCTGGGTGGGATGAAGAACCCTTGTCTGCACGGTGCCATTGTGCACAGAATAATGGTGAGACGCTCCCTAATGCATACGCTTTTTAATGCTGTACAATATAGCTGAAATTAAGTGCCACTCTTTTCAGAGATGAATTAATGGACAGCCTGGTCAAATTCAAAGCTTTTTGATGTATAAAGGTTTATAAATGGAATTATCCAATCAATAGGGAAAGTGTAACCAAAGCCTGTCTAGATGGATAGTATGTAACTTCTGCACAGGTCTCTGTTTAGTAGTAAATACATCACTGTACGGTCAGGATCTTGCTCCAATAAAGGAACATAAAGATTTTTTTTTGGACTGAGGTCATTCTCCTTGTTTTGTAGAGAAATGCTAACTTGTTTTGAATTTAGATGGTATAGTTCGTGTTTAGATGATAGACTAGTGACTGGGAAAGGGAAACCTGAAATAGGCAGTTTTTATAGCATAGGTACATAAACAGGTGAAGTGGTCTGCACAGTATTCACAGATTTTTTTGAGATTGGCTTTGAACCCATGCCAGTTTAGAACTCAAGCTTCAAGCAAGCCTCCCACTTCTCCTTTGTAGCTATAACTACAGAGCCTGTGCAGGCTCTGACAAAGCAGTCTTGGAATAAGCAGTAAATGAACTGTTGTAGTAAATAGTTTCTGAGGAAACTGTGAGTTTTGAAGAGTCAATATTTTTTTTTCCCCCAGATACAACAGATAAATCGAGTATTCATGACTTAATCTGCTGAACTATGCAACCATCATAGTACACTTTTTTCCTAACAAAAGTCCAGTAACTTGGATTGGTGCTTCAGTCTGTGATACTGTTTCACAATGAAGGTTGGCACATAACTAGTTTTATGTGGTGTGTTCTGTGCTGCTAGGTTATAGGTCACAATCATTTTATAATGTTCTTGGGCTGGGGGGTGACCCTCCAGTGGAATCCTGCCTGGGAAGCTTGAGGCCCTGAGTTCAAAACCTAGTAACACCAGAAATTTTTTTCAGGTGTTAATATTTCCTGCAGCTGGTCTTGAACTCTTTGCCCCCAACTGATCCTCCTTGCTTCCTGAGTAGCTGGTTTTTAGAGCCATTTAAGGCAGTGTACTCCCAACTCTTACTGTCAGAACAGACTCCTATATTTGTAAATCTTATAAAAACTAATCAGTGAGGAAGGAAGCAGAATGACAGTCTAGCATAGCCCATGTTCCCCCGTTGCAAGAGGGTTCGGTTCCTTTGTTGAAGGACATTTAGGGCAGTTATGCCCTAATTATGCAGCTATGTTCCAAAGCTGTGCCAGTCTCTGCTTATGTGGGTATTAGTTACTGCACGAATAGCTTGAGAAACTTGCAAGCTTAAAGTTGTTGCAAATCTTAGACCTGTGTCTTAGACTACTAAGGTTACTTATTTCTCCAATGAGTTAGAAAACACTTCTTTGGCCTCTAATTTCTTTGTTTTTGTGATTGGCTACTTCAGCCTCCTTGGGGGTTACAGGCCACCATGTCCAGCCATATCTTTTTTGTTGGGACTGGGGTTTGAACTTGGCTTCACACTCTCAAAGCAAGTGCTCTTAACTGCTTGAGCCACACCTCCAGTCCATTTTGCTGGCCTTTCAATCTCAGCCTCCCAAGTAGCTAGGATTACAGGCATAAACCATTGATGCTAACCATGCTTCTCCCCCCCCCCCCACCATAGTACTGGGGTTTGAGCTCAAGACTTTGCACTTGCAAGGCAGGCCCTCTGGCACTTGAGCCACTTCTTTAGTCCACAAGCTTGTAATACCTACTCAGGTTAATCTACCAGGGTAGTCATGAGAGGAAGCTGGGAATATTCTACAGAAATTTATCCAATCTGGGTGGTATAATTTGAGTTGTATGTGTACACTTTTCATAACTTAAGCTTCAGTTAAATTTTAAAAATGCAAATAAATTTACATATGTACAGTTTTATTAAAATAGCCATCAGATTTTTTTTTTTATTGGCAGAACTGGGGCTTGAGTTCAGGGCCTCATGTTAAGCAGGAGCTATAACTTGAGGTACTCTGCCAATTCTTTTTTTGTGTGTTTTTTGTGTAATTTTGACATATTTCGAGAAATATTTGCCCTGGTTGGCTTCAAACCTTGATCCTCCTGATTTGCCTCTCGAATAATTAGGGTTACAGGTGTGAGCCACCTGTACCCACAAGATTCTGGTTTCTTGAGACAGGGTCTCAGATCCTTATGCCTTAGTGTCCCAGTTTTGGGATTACTGGTGTGTGCCAGCATACCCAGCCCAGTCTACATAATTAAAACTAGAGACCCAGGTGTAGTGACACATGCTTGTTATCCCAAAACTAGAGAGGCTGAAGCAGGAGAATAATGGTTTAAGGCTAATCTGGGCATGGTGTTACGTGTCTGTAATCTCGGCTACTGTGAGGGAGGAGGTAGGAGGATCACAGTCTGAAACCAGTCTTGAGTAAAAAACCAGAGACCCAATCTGGGGAAAAAAAAAAAAAAGCAGCAAAAAAGGGCTGGAGAACTGGAGCTTGGCTCAGGTGGTAGAGTACCTGCTTAGCAAGCATGAGGCCCACACATCATTTAACAAATTTGCTTTATACCTGGCCTTTATGGGCCACTACTACTTGGTGATGTAATGCTTTGTGGTTTCACTTGGTCCCACAAATGCAAATTTGATCTTTCAGTCTTTGTTATAACTTGCTAGAAATCCTTTATTAGTTATAGATTGTTCTGTTATACAGAAGAAGGCTTTCAGAATTTCCCCCCCCTTTAGCTCTATGGATCAATCCCAGGGCCTTCTGCATGCTAGGCACACAGGTGCTCTACCTCTAAGCTGCATCCCCAGCACTGCAACAAAATTCCTTTCAGAGGAGTGAAGAGCTATCCACTTTGTACTTCACCCAACAGTGACTATTTCCTTTTTAGAATACTGGTTATGGAGGCTTAACAATTGTAGTTTTGTGATTAGAACAAGAATAATTGCAAGGATCTTTAAAGTGGAGGGTGTGTGCCAACTTGATTGGTTAGTGACATTGTGTACTCAGGTTCTACCCAGAAACTTAATGCAGATGGACTGGTTGCAATAGTGAGAAGGCAAAAAGTTGTGTGACTAGGAAAAGTTTTCCTTATGTGGCCTGTAGGAAGTTTTAGATTTCTTTCAGGTTGACTATTCAAATAGTCTTTTTTCCAGTACTGGGGCTTGAACTCAGGGCCTCACAATAATCACTTGATTTGTGTGAGATTAGACACTCTAATCACTTGAGCTATTCTGCCAGCCCTTCTTTGTGTTGGGTAGTTTCGAGATAGGGTCTTGTGAACCATTATGCTCCTGCTGGCCTCGGAACTGGAATCTTCTTGACCTAGCTCAGGACCTTCCAGCTCCTGCCTTGGCCTGGTGTGCATGAGTTGGTGACCTCTGCTTTACAGAGAATGAATGCCTCCTGAGTAGCTAGGATTACAGGGGTTTTTTGGTTTTTTTGGAGGGGTGGGACTGGATTTTGCTTTTCCACTTGCAAAAGCAGGTGCTCTAATCCTTGAGCCACACCTCCAGTTCATTTTGCTCTGGTTATTTTGTGGATGGGGTCTTGAGAACTGTTTGCCTGGGCTGTCCTTGAACCTTGATTTTGAGCCTCCTAAGTAGGTAGGATTACAGGCATGAGCCACTATCCTGTGGGTGTTAACATGAACTGTTTTCCTAAGAATTGTAATGTCAGGGGGTAAGGATTACAGTCAAAAGGTGCGCTTGTCTGGTCGGACTCCGCCAGCAGCCCCACATTGTTTGCCTTGAGTTCCCCCACCCTGAATGAATTTCCTGGCTTCTGCTACTTCACTCCTTTCCCTTAGTGGGAGGCAGTGGAGTCGACACTTAACGGTAAACCTGGAAACATTTAATTCAGCTTTCTGGTGCAGGAGGTGGGTTAATGGTCCTGGAGGGGAAGAGTGAACAGTAAACGTTAATTAGCTGGACTGATTCCATTATTGGGAAGGCCTGAAGGGGGGGAAGCTTGCTGGTTTGATTGTTGGGATTTTGACGCGTTGAGTCAAAAGGTGAGGTGCTTTTACTTCTTTGTGATGGGAAGCATTCAGCTCAGGACAGCTTGAGAACACTCCATTTAAAAAGCCTAGTATGTGTCTGGTGCTTGTCTTAGTGTGTCAGTTTCAGTTTTTTGTTGTTTGACACAGGCTCTCACTATGTAGCGGAAGCTGGTCTTGAGCACAAGGCTCCTCCTTGCTTCAGCCTCCCTAGTGCAGGGAGGTCACACATGCTCCTGTGTGCCTTTGACACTCACTTCTGACCCCTTGTAGGACACTCCTTCCAGTGAAGTCAGGGCACAGATTGCTAGTAAGCACTGGTGCCAGGAAGTGGCATAGGCTAGGCAGTAAGACCCAGGTTGTCCTGGGCAGGCCACTGCCAGGGCGCCGCTGTGGATTACCTTCCTGAGAGAGTGGCTATTTCTTAGGGTGCAGATATCTTCTGGGTAGACGGACTACCTCGCGCTCCAGCTGGACCTGCAAACTCAGTCCGTTGAGGGATTTTTCCTGAGAGAAGTTTGGTTCACGTGTAGTTTTTAATTTGCCATTTGGGTGAGGCTTTACTTTCTTTTCACGTACATTCTCATAGACTGATACCTAGACGAAACAGGCACTCCATGGGGGCGACAGACTGGGCATGGCCCACTTTACACCGAGGACATCCAAAGGGAAGAGAAGGACTTGGAGGAGGCCCAGCGCACGGAGGGCAGGAGTCAGGTCGTGGGTGGCAGAGCTGCAGAAAGGGGCGTCCCCAGCAGACTGCACCCCAGACGCGTGGTCTGGCGCTCGGCGGCTGGCAGGGGGCGCTGTCCCCTCTCGGGCCGTCCCCTCTGGATGGGCGGCGGGTCAAAGCTATAGCCACCGGGGAAATGCAGCCTTCCATCCCCAGGAGCATCAGCGTTAAGCCGAGCGGGAGCTGCAGCTGCAGCAGGCCGGGCGCACCGCCCCGCATCCCGCCGAGTTTCAGACGCTGGACGACGCGGGGGCGTTCAGGAGTCGGGGTCTCGGCGCTGCACCCGCGGCGGCCGAGAGGCGGCGCTGGTCCCCAGGTCCCGGCGCGTCTCGACAGGGGGCGCCCGATCCCGCGTCGCTTCCCGGGAAGTTTCAAGTTTGAAAGTCTTGGCACAGGGGCCGGGGCTTCCGGAACGGGAGTGGAGGAGAGGAGGGGCCCCGAGGCCGGAGCGGCGCCATGGAGGAGGGGGCGTCGCGGCAGGTGAATGGCGCTGGCGAGGCCGGGCGGAGCGCGGAACCGAGGGGTGCGGGCCAGCCTGGTTTGCCGCCATGCGCGTCCCAAGCTCAGGTCGGATCTCCAGCCCCGCCCCCTCCCCCGCGTCCCTGTACGCGACACGGTCTCAGACTAGACCTGAACCCTGGGTTACAAGTCGTTCATGTTCCCTGGGTGATTCAAAGTCTCTAGTCGGCCAGCTCCGGGACATGTCCGAAACCACAGTGTGCAGGCTGGTCCCCAAAGTGTCTTAAAATCGGTTCTTCCAGGTGGGACTCTAAGGCCAATGGGAATTAGCCGGGAAAGCCACGAGGGGTCTGCAGGCAGTTGAAGTGCGTGGGGGCCGAGGAAGGTGTGCGCTTATGGGGGTGGACTCCGAGCACACCCGCACTCCCACCGCCAGCACGCCCGCATGCTCCCTGTTGTGTGCGCCATGGGAGTCGCCTAGCCCAGCTGTGTGCGGGAACCTTCTTGTACACAGAGGGTTCCAGAACGTGGAGAGGGTCCTGTTCCCGCCCTGTGTGTGCTTGTGTACCACTGAAGACTGTGTGTGCTTGTGTCCCTGAAGACTGAGAGCAATTGGGAGGGTAAGGTGGGGACATTTGTGTACAAGACAGGCTCAGGAGAGCAGAAAGCGGGAGGTGTGTGTGTGTGAGTGACGTTAGAATTCTAGCCCAGGGGTGTTGGGGGTAAGGTGCAGTAGACCTCACTCCAGTGTCCCCACTCCAGTGGCTTAGGCAGCCCGCAGGACTAAATCTCCCACTCCCCCCCCTTCCTCCGGAGGTCCCTCTGCCTGTTCCAACAGTAGCTTGTACACATTTTCCAATTCCTGAGAGCCTACGCCCAGCAGCAGTGGCTGAGTGACTCAGGACCCTGGTGGCTGGGCCCCCAGCTCCATGAGATCTTTGTTTGCTCGGCCTTTGGCTCTGGCCTTCTCGCCTGAGGCCGTCAGAGGATTTCCTGAGCCTCGCCCTTGCCTTCTAACAGCCAGCCAGGCCAGCTGGCCCAGCTGTGGGGTGGGGGGTCCCTGAGCTGGGTAGCTACCTTTCCACGGGGCTCAGGAGATGGATGGAAGAGAGGTAAGACAGGGACGCTGCCAGAGTCCTGCTGTGTGTATGTGTGTGTGTAGTGGGCTGCCCTGGTTGAGGTCAGCTTTGGCACTGATCAGTTTGCCATGTTGCCTCTGGAGAGGGGGTTTTCCTCTTCCTGGTTTTGATCTGGTGAATAGTGAGGAAGCCTTCCACTTCCTCCCAGAGCTGAGCTGGGAGCAGGCGCCCCAGCCCCTCTCGGTGTCCCTGCTTTGCCACAGAACAGCAGAGGAGCAAGCTTTGGCCTCTTAGGCCACTGGCTGGCTCCTGCATATGACCCTAGGTGAGACCCTTCTTGGTGCTGAGCTCTTGCTGGCTCTCAGATTCCACTTGGTTCCCACACATAGCACAGTGTGCCTGACAGGGAGAGGTTAGGGTCCCGCACACATGGTGGCCTCTCCTCTGTGTAGCCACTGGGAGGAAGTTGCTTAACCTCTGTGTCCTTTCCTCATGTATTTGGGGATAACTGCTTGTAGGGACTGAGGGTGTGGCTCAGTTGGTAGAGCCTTGCTCAGCCGACCCTGGGTTCCATCCCAACACTGCCAAAAAGTAACTGCGGTGGGGATGCTGCTGGAGAGGCTGTGAGGAGTGCCGGGGCAGTGCATGCGCACTCCTTACACTAGAACTGGCCCCTGACGGGCACCATGGCAGCTTTAGCAATCACCTTCTCACAGCCTAGGTAGGTAGCCAGGGGATTTCCAAGCTTCTGAGCAGAGATGCCGCAGTCTGTGCTGTCCAGTCGCTCTTGCTATGGAGGCCTGCAGGCCATGACTCCTCTCTGTCCTTCTGCAGCCTGGGCCTGGCCAGCGGCCTCCCAAGGACGAGAAAGAGGTGATTCGCAGGGCCATCCAGAAGGAGCTGAAAATCAAGGCGGGCGTGGAGAACCTGCGTCGTGTGGCCACAGACCGCCGCCACCTGGGCCACGTGCAGCAGCTGCTACGGTCCTCCAACCGCCGTCTGGAGCAACTGCATGGCGAACTGCGGGAGCTGCACGCCCGTGTTCTGCTGCCGGGCCCGGCTGGTGAGTGAACAGATCCTGTGGGACTGGAGGCTCCTGGCCTTGGCCTTGACCTCTGTGTAAGACTGCCTCCCTCCCTGAGCCTCCTCCCATAGTCCTTGCTTCTGATATGCCCAGGAGGGGAGGGAAGAGAGAGCTCAGTGAGAGGGGTCTTGGCTCTGGTGACCTGTACTCTCTGCTCCCAGAACCTGTGGCCTCAGGACCCTGGCCACCGGCAGAGCAGTCAAGAGCTCGGCACCTGGAGGCTCTACGGAGACAGTTACAGGTGGAGCTGAAGGTCAAGCAGGGGGCTGAGAACATGATCCACACGTGTGCCAGTGGCACCCCCAAGGTTAGATTCCTGGGGTCTGATGGGGGAGGCACAGCCCTGGCCTCCAGTCTGATGGGAGAGACTTGGCTCTTAGATGCTGGAGGAATATAGCTCCAGCCCCTATTCTGACAGGCAGCTGCAACCTAGTCATTGACCCTATAAGGGAGCTACAGTCCCAGTCCTTAGTTTGATGAGGAGAGTGCAACCCCAAATTCCAGTTGGGTGGGAAAGTGTGATCCCCAACCCATAGCCAACAGAGAGGGTCCAACACTGACTGATGGAATCCCAGTCCAGTCACCAGTCACAGCTCCCAGCATGATGGGGGGCGCTGTGCCTCAGAGTCTGTGTAACAGGAAGACTGAGCCCTCACCCTTGGTCTGATGGGGGAGACTTCATCCCAGCCCTTGTCAGTCTGATGGAGTAGGCTCTGCTTCTCTCCACACTCCACACCTAGTCTAACCGGAGGGGATTGGCTGTAAGCCTGGTGTGATGGAGGGAGGCTTCTTGGTCTGATGAAAGAGGCTCTGGCCCAGCCCTGTCTGGTGGGGCATATGTCACCTCCCCACAGGAGAGGAAGCTCCTGGCAGCTGCTCAGCAGATGCTGCGGGACAGCCAGCTGAAGGTGGCCCTGCTGCGAATGAAGATCAGCACCCTGGAGGCCAGTGGGTCCCCTGAGCCAGGTGAGGAGGCCTTGGGAAGCAGGGAGGGCCAGGTCAGGCAGGGCTGAGGGCCGAAGGCTGAGCGCTGACCTCCTCTCTGCAGGCCCTGAGCTGCTGGCAGACGAGCTGCAGCACCGATTGCGCATCGAGGCTGCGGTGGCCAAGGGTGCCAAGAACGTGGTGAAGCTGCTGGGTAGCCGGAGAACACAGGACCGCAAGGCTCTCGCAGAGGTCAGGCCATGCCCCCTGCCCTTGCTGCTCTTCTCTGAGGGTCTGCTTGTCTCCAGTCCACACTCTGGATGTGGACTGTGCCCGGCTGTACAGGGTGACAGTTAGGAGACAGGACAGATGTGTCGAGGCCTCCCATAGAGGGGTTTCCAGGAGTCTGGGTCCCATCCTGCCCTGTACCCGAGGCCTGTCTCTACCTATGTCTCCTCTGTAGGCCCAGGCCCAGCTCCAGGAATCCTCCCAGAAACTTGATCTCCTACGGCTAGCCTTGGAGCAGCTGCTGGAAGGTCTCCCTCCTGCCCACCCTCTACGCAGCAGGGTGGCCCGAGAGCTGCGAATGGCTGTGCTTGGGAACCCCCAGCCTTCAGGGACACTTGTGAAACCTACCGCCCTGACAGGTAGCCGGGAGTCCTTTCCACTTCACAGGTCCCCTTCCCTTTCAGGGGGGACCCTAAAGCACTTTGGGGAAGAGTTTGTATGCTTGCCTCACAACTCATTAGCTGTGTGACCTTGGACAAATGACATCTCTCTCTGAACCTTAGTTTATTCATCTATAACATAGGGATGACAATAGCACTACCTCATAGGGTTATTCTTTTTCTTTCTTTTTTTTCTTTGGCAGTCCTGGGGTTTGAACTCAGGGCCTTGTGCTCGGTAGGCAGGTGTTCTACCTCGAGCCATGTTCCTAACACTGCTGTGAAAATTCAGTGACTCGTTACATAGGCAGAGCTAAGCACAGTGCTTGGCAGTGCCAGGGGTGCTCGTATTTAAATAAGTGACTGTCAGGTTAAAGCACCAGCATGGAGCATCAAAGAGTGCTTTCTGGAGGAGGTGACGTCTGAGCTTAGTCTTGAAGTGTCTTAAGGAGTACTTACGGTCAAGTACACAGGTAGAGGAAGGCAGAGGAAACAGCTTGTTCAAAGGCCTAGAATTCAATTGTTTAGGGTTCCCTCACATCACAGTTCCTGGCTGGGTCCCTTGGTTCCTCAAGTTTTTTTTCTTGTTTTGTTTTGTTGGTACTGAGGTTTGAACTCAGGACCTCGTGCTTGCTAGACAGGCACTCTACCACTTGAGCCACTCCACCAGCTCTTTTTTTTTTTTTTTTTTTTTGAGGTACTGGAGCTTGGACTCAGGACTCAGGGCCTTCACCTTGAGCCACTCCACCAGCCCTATTTTTGTGAAGGGTTTTCGAGATAGGGTCTTGTGAACTATTTGCCTGACTGGCTTTGAACCACGATTCTCCTGATCTCTGCCTTCTGAGTAGCTAGGGTTATAGGCATGCGCCATAGGTGGCTGGCTGAGATAAAGCTGTTAGTGACCCTGAAAATGAGCCTACTCAGTTGGCAAAACAGGTTTTATACCCTTTGGGGGAGGTGGAGCATAGGTGGGACTCACTGTCACTGTTCAGATAGGGAGACTGAGGCCCAGTGAACAAGCAGGGCAGGACACGGGATGCCAGGCTTCCTGCTCCTTCCCCAAGCTCTTGTGCCTGCTTCTGTGTACCGTGTACTTGAGGCCATGGTGCCCTCAAGGCCTCCAGCACCAGGCAGCATCCTGCCCATCCTGTCGTTGTGCACGGCCTGACCAAGTGGGTCTCATAGCACTGTGTCCTGTGGCCACAGGACTATTTGCTGCCCGGTTGGGGAGAGCCACTTGGTCTGTCCTGAGGATGGCAAGTGGTCTGCGTCAGCCACTACTTGGAGAGGATGACATCCCTGGGGTCCCAAGGTGCCCTGGTGGTGGCATTTGACAAGGTCCCCTGTGCACACTCCTCAACAGGGACATTGCAGGTGCGCCTCCTGGGCTGTGAGCAGCTGCTGACAGCTGTGCCTGGACGTTCTCCGGTGGCCGCACTGGCTGGCAGCCCCTCTGAGGGCTGGCTTCGCACGAAGGCCAAACAGCAGCGTGGTGGTGGCAGTGAGCTGGGCAGTGAGTAGGGAAGGAGCCGTGGGGGGCAGTGGGGACCCCGTTATGGACCTGCCCTGAGCCCTGGCTCTGGTCCCATAGGTGAGGTGCTGGCCGTGTTAAAAGTGGACAACCGTGTGGTGGGCCAGACAGGCTGGGGACAGGTGGCTGAGCAGTCCTGGAACCAGACGTTTGTCATCCCCCTGGAGCGAGTAAGGCTGATCTTTCCTGGCCATGGGCCACAGGGTGGAAGGTCCCCAGATGGGAGCTGCTGCCATCCCTCAACCTGGCCTCCCCGTGTAGGCCCGTGAGCTGGAGATTGGGGTGCACTGGCGGGACTGGCGGCAGCTATGTGGCGTGGTTTTCCTGAGACTTGAGGACTTCCTGGACAATGCCTGTCACCAACTGTCCCTCAGCCTAGTGCCACAGGGGCAGCTCTTCACCCAGGTGCTGGCTGCCTTCTCCCCCTCTTCCCTGACCTCTGACCTGGTGGGCCCTGGGTGCCGGACTAGAAGGCCCTTTGAGACTGTGACTCCCCCTCTCCCCATAATTGTTGAAAATTGAAAACCAGAGACAGGAGGTCTTCAAGAACAAGGATTCCGCCAGGCACCTGTGGCTCACTCCTGTAATCCTAGCTATCAGGAGGCAGAGATCAGGAGGATCATCGAAGCCAGCCCAGGCAAATAGTCCCACGAGACCCTATTTCAAAAACACTTCACAAAAAAGAGCTGGTGGAGTGGCTCAAGCTGTAGGCCCTGAGTTCAAACCCCAGTACTGCAAAAAAAAACCCAAGGATTCCCAGTGCTTTATATGGAGCTGTTTGGAGGCCTGCATCCCTGTCCTGAGTCTGCCAGCCTTCTGTGTGGCAAGAAGTCACACAAGTGCCTAGACAAATGCCTCTTCTTTGGTCCTCAATTTCTCTGCTGGTGCCAGTGAGAATAGGGAACAACTCTCTGGGTCCTTGGGGCTCTTGCACCTATTGATTGGCATTGGGAGCTGGTACTGGAGTCCTAGGGTAGAGGAGGTGCCGTGGCAGATGGGACAGGAGACTGGTTTTCAGCCCTGCCTTTTCCTCTGCAGGTGACCTTCTGTGACCCTGTTATTGAGAGGAGACCCCGGCTGCAGAGGCAGAAACGCGTTTTCTCTAAACGCAGAGGTGGGGGACTGCATGGAAGGGCAGGGCTGGGGTCTTCAGGGTGCTGGGACTGAGTCCCCCCTCTCCTCCAGGCCAGGACTTCCTGAGGGCCTCCCAGATGAACCTCAGCATGGCAGCCTGGGGGCGCTTGGTCATGAGTCTCCTCCCCCCGTGCAGCTCACCAAGCACAGTCAGCCCCCCCAAAGGGGGCCCTCAGACCCCCGCTGCACCCCGAGGCGCTTCCGACCTTGCTTCCCCAAGGTGAGAAGCCACTTTCCCCACACTGCACACTTCTCTGCAGCACCTGCCTCTCCAGGCTCAGTGGTTGTCTGTCTTTCTATCCCTCCCCAATGCCCACTCTAAGCCTTTATGTCCCCTGCGTGACTATGTGTCTGTCCCACCAACTGTTCCATTTTCTTGGCTTTGGCTACATGTCTGCTTCCTCTGTACAGTAATTTCCTGCCCAAGAAGAGCCCCTTGGGGGAAGACATGAAGCCCCCACCCAAGCCCCCGCGCCTCTTTCTGCCCCAGGAGCCAACTCTGGAGGAGACTCCGGTGAGGGCCGGTGGTGTTGGTAGACCCAGGGGCTGCCAGGACTGGGGGTGGCCAGCCAGGAGGCAAAGAGGGAAGGCAGCCCTGCTCTGCCCTGATTCCTCTTCCTTCATAGTGCACCAAACGCCCCCACATGGAGCCTCTGACAGGACTTGTGTCCATCCCAGCTGCTTCACCCGCCAGGTACGTGTTGGTTCACTTTCACGAGAAGACTTAGCCAGGCATTTGGGTAGGTGCATAACACTCTCAGCTTCTCCTCTACTTGCTGAGCCATGACACTGAGTTCCAGCTGTGCAGACAGCCCAGGAGTTGCTGGGCGCTAGTGGCTCATGCCTGTAATCCTAGCTATTCAGGAGGCAGAGATCAGGAGGATCAATGTTCAAAGCCAGCCCCAGGCAAGTAGTTTGTGAGACCCTATCTTGAAAATACCCATCACAAAAAAGGGCTGGTGGAGTGACTCGAGTGGTAGAGCACCTGCCTAGCAAGCATGAGGCCCTGAGTTCAAACCTTTATTCCTGCCAAAAAAAAAAAAGGGTCAAGAGTGGCTCAGGTAGAGGTCTGACCTTGGTCCCACATGGCTTCTTGTGCCCTTTCTCTTTCGCAGGAAACCCCCTCGACTTCAGGACTTCCGCTGCTTGGCCGTGCTGGGCCGGGGACACTTTGGGAAGGTAGTGAGCTGAGGCTGCTGTGGAGAGGGGTGGGTAGGCCTGGCACATTAGCTGGAAGGGAGGTGCTGGGACCTAGGTAATGGGTGGGGGAAATGAAGACTCCCTGTTCTGCCTTCCTGGAGCCCAACCTCTCTCTCTGGTTCCCAGGTCCTTCTGGTCCAGTTCAAGGGGACAGGGAAATACTTTGCCATCAAGGCACTGAAGAAACAGGAGGTGCTAAGCCGAGACGAGATTGAGAGGTGGGTGGTGGGCCAGTGTGGACTCCAGGCACCCAGGCACCTGGCCCTAGAGGGTATCCTGGATGACTGGCCTGGGCTCCAGAAGGCAACCAAAGGGCCCTGGGGCCAGGCAGGCCTGGGTTTTCTTTCTGGCACCTGAAGTTGTGTATTGTGCGCCATTGGACAGACCCCTGTTCTACCAGCACCTCACTGTAGATTCTGTTAGCCTTTCTTCCTCCCTCCCTCCTTCCCTCCCTCCCTCCTTCCCTCCCTCCCTCCTTCCTTCCTCTTTCTTTCCTTCCTTCCTTCCTTTCTTTCTCTGTCTCTCCTTCCCTCCCTCCCTCCCTCCCTTTCTCTCTCCTTTCTTCACAGTACTGGGGTTTGAACTCAGGGCCTCATACTCTACCAGGCACACAGTCTACCCCTTGAGCTACTCTGCCAGTCATGTGAATCCTTGATATATGGAAACCATCACCCAGCCTACCTGACACTTTATTTATTTATTTTTGGCAGTACTGGGATTTAACCCAGGGTCATACACTTTCTAGGTAAGTGCTGACCCACTTGAAACAGGCCCCCAGTCGTTTTGCTCTTTTTTGGTTGTACTGGGTTTTGAACTAAGGGCCTCATGCTTACTAGGCAGGTATTCTACCACTTGAGCCACTTTGATAGCCCTTTCTCATGTTGGGTATTTTTGAGATAGGGTCTCGCGAACTATTATCCCAGGGCTGGCTTTGAACTGCAATCCTCTATGCTTCTTGAGTAGCTAGGGTTACAGGCATGAGCCACCAGTGCCTGGCTATTCCTTTTGATTTTAGTTTGGTTTTCAGAAAGGGTCTGTTGCTTACTTTTCCTGGACTGGCCTTGAGCTATGACCCTCCTACCTCCACCTCCTGAGTAGCTGGGATTACAGACATGTACTATCATATCTGGCTTGTTTTGGTTTGTTTTTTTGGGGTTTTTTGTAGCACTGGGGTTTGAACGTAGGGCCTTGTTCTTGCTGGGCAGGCTCTCTACCACTTGAACCACACTCTCAGCCCAGCTTGCTTTTGAGATAGGATGCCACCAGCTTTTGCCCAAGCTATCCTTGAGCTGAGATCCTCCAGACTCCCCTCCCAAGTACCTGGAATTTTTTCTTTTGTGTGTGTGTGTGTGTGGTACTGGGGATTGAACCCAGGACCCTGAGTATGTTAGGCAAATGTTTTACCACTTGAGACATGCCCCCAGCCCTATTTCTGAGATAGGGTCATGCTACATTTGCCATGGCTGACCTCAGTTCTGTCTTCCAACTCTCAAGTAGCTGGGATTACAGCCTGACCACACCTGGCAAGTCTGACGCTTTGAGGCCCCAGCGAGCTACCTATATACTGTGTGGTGGCAAGACAGGGCCCCTTGAGGTTTTCCATTCCTCTAAGACCTTTGCCCTCCCCTGCAGCCTGTACTGTGAGAAACGAATCTTGGAGGCCGTGGGGCGCACTGGGCACCCCTTCCTGCTATCCCTCCTTGCCTGCTTCCAGACCTCTAGCCATTTCTGTTTTGTGACTGAGTTTGTGCCCGGGGGTGACCTCATGATGCAGATCCATGAAGATGTCTTTCCTGAGCCGCAGGCCTGGTAAGTCTCCCTCCCTGCTGCCTGTCTCTTCCAGCAAACTCACTGATTCCTAGCTGTCTACATGGTCCTGCTCCCTCTAGGGAAGTGCAAAGGGTCCTAGAGGCTTTGGTTCAGTTGTCACATCTATTCAGGCAGCTGCGGATCGGTTCACTACTTCTTAGGATTGCTGCAGAGATGACAGTAACACTTACAGATGGCCTAGGGTGGGGGTGGCAGTTGGACTCTGGAATTGGAAAGACCTGACTTAGCATGGCAGCTCTGGCCCTCGTTGTATGACCCCAAGCAAGTTCCTCATCTGGAGTTTCAAGCACTCTCATGAGTGCACGCTGCTGGGAGGATGCCAGGCGAGCTAGGTGTGTGGAACACTTGGCCTTAGGTCCTGACTCAGGTGAAGAGTCCAGGAAGGCTGTGCTGTGAGTGTGCAGAAACCTTGGCATGACCTATGGCCTTCCAGCCCAGGCATGATGCTTGTTTGTCCAGCCTCGCGCCCACATCTGACTCTGGCCAGTGGGCCTGAATTCTCCCTCTGTGTCCCCTCCAGCTTCTACCTGGCCTGTGTGGTCCTGGGGCTGCAATTCCTACATGAAAAGAAGATCATTTATAGGTAGGTTTTGCCCCAGAGATGTAGGGGTGGTGCAGGGTGGGCCAGGGCAGCTGCTGGCCCTGGGCCTCTCAGCCCCTTTGATCTACCCCCCCTTGCCCTTAGGGACCTGAAGTTGGATAATCTTCTGCTTGATGCCCAGGGTTTCCTGAAGATCGCAGACTTTGGGCTGTGCAAGGAAGGTGGGGCCACCTGTCCTGGAGTGAGAGTCCAGAGTGAGAGTCTGGTCAGGGTTGGAGAGGGCATTGGTTTCTGCCTTCTGTGTGACCTTGGCATGTGAATTTGGCTGAGACTCAGCTGTCAAATAGTGCCATTGTGACTATCCCCACCCTCCAGAGTGTGGGGCAAGGTTTGGCACAGGGCTGACTACCTTGGATCGTAAAGGGTTGGCACTAATTTATTTTTCGGAGCTGGGGATCCAACTCGGCCTCACACATGCTAGGCAAGTGCTCTACCAGTGAGCCTCACCACCAGCCCTAGCACTGTTAGAACAGAGAGGTTGTAGTGAAGGGGTGGTGCCCAGCAGGCATTGGTATGGATGTTGTTTGTAGGGATTGGCTTTGGGGACCGAACAAGTACCTTCTGTGGAACCCCAGAGTTCCTGGCTCCCGAGGTGCTGACCCAGGAGGCCTACACACGGGCTGTGGACTGGTGGGGGCTGGGCGTGCTGCTCTACGAGATGCTGGTGGGTGAGGTGAGTGCTGGAGTGGGGTTGTGTGGGCCTCTGGAGCAGGGTGGGCTCACAACCCTGCTGAGCCCGTGTCTCCACAGTGCCCATTCCCAGGGGACACAGAAGAGGAGGTATTTGACTGCATAGTCAATTCAGATGCCCCGTACCCCCACTTTCTGTCAGCACAAGGGCTCGAGCTCATTCAGAAGGTAGGTCTCATGAGGTCCAGGTAGACCTGGTGTACCAGTGGGCTATGGCTTGTATGCCCTGACACCACTTTGGGGTCCCCAGTTGAAGTGGGACACCCTGGGTGCTGCTGTGGCCTAGAGCAGAGTGCCTTAATTTGGCACTTGCCTTCTGTCAGCTCCTCCAAAAGTGTCCAGAGAAGCGCCTGGGGGCAGGAGAGCAGGATGCCGAGGAGATCAAGGTCCAGCCATTCTTCAGGGTGAGTGGCCAGTGGTCTCTAGTGCCTGGTGGGGTGGGAGGCCTGAAGTGAACACCAGGTCTGCTGTTTCTGCCATCTCAGGCTCCTCTGTCCTTGTCCCCAGACCACCAACTGGCAGGCTCTGCTCGCCCGCACTGTCCAGCCCCCCTTCGTGCCTACCCTCTGTGGCCCTGCAGACCTGCGGTATTTTGAAGGCGAGTTCACTGGGCTTCCACCAGCTCTGACACCTCCTGCCCCTCGAAGTCCCCTCACTGCCCGCCAACAGGTTGCCTTCCGGGACTTTGACTTTGTGTCGGAGCGATTCCTGGAGCCCTGAAGCTCCTGCAGCACCTCTGTATCCCGGACTGGTAGACCCCGACTTGGTCATCTGCACACCCTGCCTTTCGGCTCAAGGTGGACTGCTACTGGGGCTTTCCTCAGTGTCACTGGGGAAAGTATGTCCCACCCCTCCCACCATGCCTCCTCTGCCTCCTAGTGACACGTGGACCAGAAATGGCGCCAAAGCAGTGGTTGGTTTGTCTTTTTAATACTTGACTTGCTTTTTAGATGATTAAATTTGCAATATTGTGCAGCATTAGCAGTAAACCGCCCGAGGTCTGGGGTCCCCAGCCCCCCCCTTCCAGGTCCTTTTCCTTCCCCTCTTTCTCAGGAAGGCAGAGGGGTGCCTCCTAAGGCAAGGATTCTGTCTGGATGCTCTGCTGAGGCCTGGGAGGCGCGGACAGGAGTGGGGAGCCCAGGCCCTCCGGGGCTGACCCCAACTAGTCCAGCCCCCTCAGCCACCCTAGACAGCCTGGCTGCTGCCTTCCTCCTCTGCCTCCTCAGCCCAAAGGGTCTCCCAGGACCCCGAGGGCCAGCCACAGAAGAAGTGGGCTAGATTGCGAGTCAGGCCACGGTCGAAGGGGTTGCTGGAGCGCTGGCGGAGGTAGGCGATGCGGTGCGAGGAGATGAACTCCCAGGTGGTGGTGTTGCTGGCAACCAAGTAGAGGTGCGAGGCCAGGAGCAGGCCGGCCACCAGTGATAAGAGGGACAGCAGCAGGAAGGTGGCAAACAGGAGCCCACTGGACCTCAACCACAGCCCCCAGGGCTGGAAGAACCGGAGACCGGACCTGCAGGACGGACCAGGAACTGGAGCCGGGGAGGTTGGGAGGAACCCGCCTCAGTGGGCCCAGAGAGCCAGGGCTCTGTGCACACTTGTGGGTGCATGCAGCCCTCACTCCCCCATGCCTGGGCACAGTGGCACCTACCATGCCAGGTACAGGCCCCACAGAAGCACCACCAGCTGGAGGGCCAGGTAGGCCACAAAGAGCGGGTGGTTACGCTCCCCCACGCAGTTCTCCATCCAGGGGCAGTGATGGTCATAGCGGCGGACACAGCGGCGGCAGTCACGACAGTGCCGGGCCCGGAGGGGCTGCTGTTGGCACAGGGGGAATCCAGGCTCAACACTTGACCCCAGCAGGCCCTCCATTGAGAGGCGGGCTGAAGGTCAGGGTCAGAGCCTGAATCTGGGAGGCCTTCCTGGAGGAAGGGTGGGGCCAGGGCTCTGGGACAGGAGGAGATCAGGGAGTCTCAGTTTTGTCCTGGCCCCTCCCATCGGGGGTTCTGCATCACCCACCAGCACCAGGCAGTATCTGCAGCGCCGAATGGGGATGACCTGAGGAACCATAGCTGTCTGCTCCTCCTTGGACTCCTGAAAATGAGGGACACAGCATAAGATGGGGTCCCTTCGGGAAAAGGATGGCACTGATGGGCGTCATCTTAGTGACCGGCTGGGCTGTGAGTGTGGAGGGTTTGGAGCCTATTCCACGTAGAATGGAGGTGTGAGTAGGTCAGGGTGCCCTGCAGATCTGTGTAGCCTTTGCAAGGTGCTTCTAGTTTCTGGGTCTTGGCTATTTCCTCTTTGCAGGATAGGGTCTAGGGCTGGCAACCTCTTGCCACTGAGCTGCCCCACAGAAGCCCATGGCACAGGGGCTATCATGGAGACTGTGACCAGAGCCTAGATTACCTGTTGACTGGAGGAGGGGGTTCAGGTCCCCAGGGGCCCCTGGTTACCTGGGGCTGGGGCTGAGTGTTCACGTAGCCTGGGTCCATGAGTGACACAGCCAAGTACAGCAGCAGGGAGCCCAACACCAGGAGTAGGAAGGTGAGGGGCAGGAACAGCTCCCCCTGCTCTTCCCATTGTCGAAGGGCTGGAGAAGCAGAGAAGGGCAGTGAGACCGGGGCCCAACAGGACGGGCAGGGCTGGGCGCAGCTAGAGGTGGGGAAGTGGCTGAACAAAGCCTGGCAAGGAGCTGGAGAGGAGGAAGTGGAGGGAGGAGGATGGGGGAGGGTGAAGAGGCCAGGTCTCATGGACGCAGGGAGACAGGACAGTAGTCCTAGGAGAGCAGAAAGGAGGGTGTGGACAAGTCTGGTGACCATGATTGTAAAAGGGAGCAGAGAAGGAAGATTTTGGAGGGAGTCCTTTTCTGATGGGGAGACCTGAAAACCTTTTTAGGCTAAAGGGTAGAGGAGGTGGGGACCAATCAAGGAGGGTGGGGGGCTGCTGTAAGGTGGTAGGGAAGGAAACTGCCTGTGGAGGAAAAGCACCTGGTAGGGGGCTATAGAGAGGAATGATGGGAGGTGAGGTGAGCGAACGGGTGCCACATAGGAATATGGGAGACCAGCTGTCCCCCCACTAGGGGTGTTCTGCCTGAGGGTGGGGAGCCTAGGCTTGGGCAGCTAGGGGGTGTGGCTGGTTGCCAGTACTTGTTGGTCCTTATGGTCTTATGCACTAGGTTGGGAATCTGTTCCTGGTAAGGATGGGATGGAGTCTAGGGTCAGTGAAAATGCGGGCTCTGATCGGTCCTTGGACTTGGTGGGCTCCGCATGGGTCTTGGGACTGGGACGGACAGGGTATCTGGACGTGACAGGAAGATGCTGGGATTAATTAGAGATCAACTGGGTATCAGGCGAAGAGCAGGTGGCCCCGAGACTAATAGATGGGGAAGGAGCCTCAGGATTTGGCGAGATGGAGCGAATTTCACCATTTTATCTTTGGGGATTAGGCGGAGTCCCAGTGAGACCCAAACGTGGGGGAAACACTCGGGATCGGGTGGATCTGGGGTCGCGCGGTGTCCGGCTCACCGGTATCGTGCAGGAAGAGCACCAGTGTTATTCCCCAGGTCAGCACGGTGTGCCCGGTCCGCACCAGGACCCCAGGGCTAAGGAGCGCCCACGGCGCCATCGCCTCAGCCCGGGGCCCCACCCGGAAGAAGCGGTCAGAGAGGCGGTCCCTCGGAGGGAGGTGGGCCGCGGCCACCTGAGGATTGGTAGATCTAGGGAGTGGGCGGGGCTTGACTGGGTTAGGGAGGCTGCCTATTGGATGGCAGCCGCGGCCGAGTGGACCCTCAAGCCAACAGGTGCCTGAGGAGGCTGAGGGCGGGGCCGGCGCGCGCGCAGCCGGTAACTCCCCCAATCCAGGCCCCTCCCTGTCCCCCCGCCCCCAGCCAGGTAACTTTCGAAAGCCCGGGAGCCGGCGCGCGGCTCCACCCCGTTCCCCTGGGCTCCGCCCTCGCGGCCTCGCGAGGATCCCGGCGCTGGAAAGACCCAGGTACCCGCTGATTCCAGAAGGCAAAGTCAGTGCCCACTTCAAAAGTGTGGTAGCCAAGGTCTGGCCACGGTTGGTCCGTGATGACATCCATACCTCCTATTCGTTTTCGGATGTTGCAAACGGATGGTGGAAAAGGGGAGGTCCGTGGTGCAGATTCCGAGGGAACGGCCCAACTTGGGTTGGAGTCCCTGGCTTACCTGAGTGTTCTCGGGCGGGTTACGGAGCTCGCTGAGCTTTCTACCTCCATGGCGCGGGTGACAATAGTACCCACATCCTAAGGTGGATGGGAGGAGTAAGTGATGAAAGCGCAGTGTCCCGCACGGACGGCCATGTCTCCCTGCTCTCAGCAACCACCTGGGCCGTGCCAGACCTAAGCGAGTTTGACCTTCCCTGTGACCCCAGGTCCTTCCCCAGCCTGCCCTCACCCTCCACGGCGTCCTGACCGGCCCCTCCTGCAGCCTGCTCTTGTCAGCTGTTGTTTTGGTCAGTTCCACTTCCCCTCTTCTGTAGGGAACTGACTTCCCAATCCATTGTGGTTCTGAAAGGATTGCCCTTCACCCCACTGCGGGGATGGGGGGATGTGACTCAGCAGCGCCGATCAGAATCATCCCATGAGATTACTAACCCCACAAAGAAAGGTACATTCTTTTGGCTCTCAGGCATAAGGCAACCAGCAGCCATCGTTTACATTCTGTGGGGACTCCTACCTACTTCAGGATCGAATGAGGACAACTTACAAAGAGACAGCGAGATGATCAGTATTAAAAGAGGGAGTGAGAGTTTTAGCATTGTCTGGGCTGTGCCTGAAGCCAGTTTAACCACTACTTTGCCCATTTGAATTCCCCCTTTTAACTAAGCTAGAATTGGGTGCCTGTTGCTTGCAGCTCAGTCCTGGTCACTGTGATGGATGCCTTTTTTTTTTTTTGGTGGGACACAGGTTTGAACTTAAGGCTTTGTGCTTGCCAAGCAGGCCCTCTACTGTTTGAGCCATACCTCCAGTCCATTTTGCTCTAGTTATTTTGGAGATGGGGTCTTAGGAGCTATTTGCCTGGTCTGGCTTCGAACTGCAAACCCCCCACCCCGCAATTTTAGCCTCCTAAGTATTACTTGCGAGTGATATTACGAGGGTGAGCCACCAGTGCCCTGCTGGATGTATGCCTTAATATGCAGAGTCAGCAACTCAACAAATAATTCTGAAGCTTTTGTGAGTCAGGCATTGTGCTGGTGTCAAAGGTAAAACTAGATGACTAGTTAAAGTCGGCAGGACAGATTTTAATCAGTAATATATGATTGTAACAAGGAAGATGGTCCAGTGTGAACTCTTTTTTTCCTTGGCAGTCCTAGGGTTTGAACTCAGGGCCTTACATTTGCTAGGCAGGCACTTTGCTGCTTGAGCCACACCTCCAGCCCTTTTTGGTTTAGGGTATTTTTTTTAGATAGGGTCTTCCCATTTTTGCCTGGGGCCCACATTGGACCTCAATCTTCCTACCTCTGCATCCTATTTGGAATTATAGGCATTTACCTAGCTTATTTGTTGAGATGGGGTCTCCCTAATTTTTTGTCTGGGCTGGCCTCAAACCACAATCCTCCTTGTCCTCCACCTCCTGAGTAGCGGGATTAACTAGATTTCTATTTGTACAAATGTGACCAATGTTTAAAAGGTAGAATGAGACAACAGAGGGACAATGATGGGGAGCCAGGAAATGAAAAATGACCAAGGGTTGGTCAGCATAGGTGCAGCCTAGGTCTGCTGAGGCTTTGTTAGCTAATAATGTTGGAAGTTACGATTTTAGCCTCTGGGCCTCTGATGATTACATGTCAGAGGAGCAGCTCTCAAGTCCTTGAGGATGGCTCTCTTGAGTTATAGGGGATACATACATACAAAGGTATAGAGAAACAGTTCAGAAATATAAGGCCATTTATTTACTAATTTATCGGTACGGGGGATGAACCCAGGACCACATATGGTAGGCAAGCACTGTACCACTGAGCTTTTAGTAAGCTGTAAGGGAGAGGGTGGGGAAAGGGGTAGCTATTGCCATGTGATGGCTGGAAAAGACAGTATATTGGCTTTTTTGTTCTTTTTGTTGTTGTGCTGGGGTTTGAACTCAGGGACTACATACTGAGCCACTCCACCAACTCTACCAGCCCTTTTCGTGATGGGTTTTTTCAAGATAGGGTCTCGTGAACTATTTGGGCTGCTTCAAACCACAATCCTCCTAATCCCTGCCTCCTGTGTAACTAGCATTATAGGTGTGAGCCACTGGCACCCAGATGAAATAGTAAATTGTTTTGGCAGCCTTGACTGGGTGGTTAAGGGGAATCTAGGGTTGATACTCCTAGATGACTTTGAACTCTTAGAAACTATGTTAGTGTTTAAGTCTTTTCATGTGAGGGGCAGGGAAGGGATGAAATCATTTCTGCTAACAGCCTTTAGTTTTTATAGACCAAGGTTGAGACACCATCAAGAAGAGGTGGGGCTAGGCACCATTTGAGAAGTGGAGATTGGAAAGATCACAGTTTAAGTCAGCCCAGTGAAAAAGCTAGGGAGACCCCATCTCAATCAATAAGCCAGGCTTGGTGTCTTCAGTCTGTGGTTCAAGCTACACAAGAGGCCATAGGTAGAAGATCAAGGTCTGAGACTGGCCTCAGGCAGAAACAAAAAGCCCTACCTGAAAAATTACTAAAGCAAAAAAAAGCGTTGTGGGTGTGGCTCAAGTGGTCCAGTACCTGCCTAACAAGCATGAGCCCTGAGTTCAAACCTCAATACCAAAAAAAAAAAAAAAAAGTGGAAGTAGGGCACAGCACACAAGCTGACCAATGTCTCAGTCTCTTTTGGAATGGGGACTCTGAATCCTGAGTACAGGGAAAGAGCAAGAGGACCAGCTGGGGCAGATTCATCACCCTGATGGCAGTGCCGAGACCAGCTGTGGGCTCCCGTGACTGGAAGCCACTCTGTGCGTCTCCTTCCTGTGGCCTGGCAGACTAGCTTGTCCTTTGGTCTGTGTACCTGGCCACATCCTGACTTCCATGGTGGGTCTCCATTGCCCACATCTAGAGCATCCTAACAGACCCTGAGGCCAGACTGGCCCCTGTGTTCAGACAGCTCACGTCCAGAGCATGGCCAGGGCTATGCTCAGTGGTAGAGCACTTGCCTAGCATGTGTGAGGCACTGGATTCTATCCCCAGCACTGAAAAAAAAAAAAAATTAAGAAAAAAAGGAAAAAGGGGAGACAAGTCAGTTACAATTTGGGGGAAATTGGAGAGGGCAGTAGTTCCGCTCGTCCCAGGTGGGGTTTGTGCAGATCTACCCCACAGTAGAGTGGGTGGCGTCTGGTGGCTGTGATTTGATGACCCTGGCCTGGATCACTCACACCGACTGTATCCCTGAGTATCTTTTGCTCAATGTTGGGCTTCGTATAGAGATGTGTACTGATTCTGGTACCCAGTGGACACTGATTAAATGGCTTTCTGGTTTAAGTATCAATCAACTTTTGGAGTAGTGGGATGTGTTTGAGAGCACTGGCTGGCAAAATAGAATTCCTTCACCTGTGAAACAGAGGACTGGACGCTGGGCTGTAGTGAATGCTATAAAGCCCACTTGCTGTGGTTTGAGCATGTTATACTCAAATCTCCAAACTTTAGTCCCTTTTGTGGTGGAATTAAGAGGTGATGTTAGTGTAGGCAGCTCTGTAGGTGTGAGCAGCAGGAAGAAATACCCCAGGCTACAAGATTCCATTCTAAAGCCCAGATGGCCCACATCCTGGACAAAGAGATTAAGATAACGACCCTATGTCCTCCCCCTGGAGCACACACCCCTCAGCCTGGAAGTGCATACACCCTGTGCAGTCCTCAAACCATTTGGGGAGGGGGCACAGAGGATGGCCTCATTTTTGTACCACCTAGTAACCCCACACTACTGGACAGAAGCCCAAGTGACCACTTCCACATAGGCCTTTATCCAAACTGCTTGCCTCATGCCTCGAGGTATAATTGTTTTTTTTTTTTTAGTACTGGGGTTTGAACTGAGGGCCTACACCTCAAGCCACTCCACTAGCCCTTTTTGTGATTTTTTTTTTTTTTTGAGATAGGGTCTATTTGCCCTGGCTGGCTTTGAACTGAGATCCTCCTGATCTCTGCCTTCTGGGTAGTCAGGATTACAGGCATGAGCCACCAGTGCCTGGTCCGCTTATGGTTCTTTGCTGTACCTGTGGCAGTGTGCTAATCTTAGACGTTGCAGCCAAAGAACCAAGAACCACCAGTGTTACCAGGGGTGAGGCCTGGATGTAGCTGGAGACCAGCAGCAGAGCACTTGCCTGGCGGCAGAAGGCTCTGTTCTGTGTTTCATCCCACAGAAGCTAGAGGAGGAGCTCCTGGCACATGTGGGAAACTTGTGTTTCCTTTCTTTGCTGTGGCATCTTTTTTTTTTTTGGTGGGACTGGGGTTTGCACTCAGGGCTTTATGCTTGCAAAGCAGGCAGTTGCAAAGCAGGGGCTCACCACTTGAGTCACACCTCCAGTTCATTTTTGCTTTGGGTATTTTGGAGATGGAGGTCTCAGGAACTATTTGCCTTGAAACTTGATCCTCCCAATTTCAGCCTCCCAAGTAGCTAGGATTACAGGCATGAGCCACCAGTGCCCAGCTACTCTGGCATCCTTGAGGCAAGTAGTCATCTCATCTTGAGTTTTAGTGTCCTTATCTATAGAATGATTTTTGTTTTGTCTTTTTTGCAGTGCTGGGGTTTGAACTTAGGGCCTATACCCTAAGGCACTCCACCAGCCCTTTTTTGTGAAGGGTTCTTTTAAGATAGTGTCTCGCAGAACTATTTTCCCGGGCTGGCTTCGAACAGTGATCCTCCTGATCTCTGCCTCCTGAGTAGCTAGGATTACAGGCGTGAGCCACCGGCACCCAGCATATGTGGAATGAGTTGTTGTGAGGACTCTGAGGAGGCAGAATGTACAGGAAGCACTTAGCACAAGGCCTAGCACAGACAAAAGCTTTGGCAGTGCCAAGTGGCCTTGGCAGGTACCTGGCAGGTGTTCCTGTTCCCTCCCAGCCATGGATGACCCACCAGTATTCCAAGGCAAACCACCATACCTGATGACTTTTCTGCCCAGACCCAGATGGGCAGCCAGTGGCAGGGGGCTCTCAACCAGGGAGAGAAGCCTGGTCCAGGCTCTGCCCAGGGGAAAGAGGAGGGTGGAGTTAGATTGCCCAGGAATGTTGAATCTGGTCCTGGTGCTTCACCTACAACCTTCAGTAACTGTCCCCACATGGGGAGTAAGCACCACACTCTGCCCACGCCCTGTAGCAAAGGTGGCCATATAATTTACTATCCCAATCTGGCACCTTTGAGAATGGGAGCACCAAGCTAGGATCATCCTGTGCTGGTCACGCCTGGCCCCAGCTACTTTCCGGCTCCCCTCACACTCACCCTTGGTTCTTTACCAGGCTGCTTCCTTGTCCTCCCTGGTGGGACACTTTCCCTAGGCCCTTGGGGCTAGGCCTGGCAGGTTCCACCTTTTTCCTGGGTTCAGCTCAGACATCCCTTCTTGGGAGAAGCCTCCATGGAGTGTGTGAGGGCTATAATGGCTCTTCCCTCTGTCCCCCAAGTGCCCCTGCTCAGCTACCTCCAGTCCTCCCTGACCCCAGCACACTCCAAACAGCCTGTAGGAGGCACCCTTCTCCTGCTCTCCTCACACAGGGTCATGATCTCCTACTTACCATCTATCTCTCCCATCAGACTCAGCATTCCTGCCAGGGGCCCTGTTGGTCTGATGTCCAGCCTTGACCTTGACCTCAGTGTCTAGGCACAGAGGCGTGAAGAGAACATGGAAGAAACAGATACTCCACCTCAATCTGTCACCTGTCCCCATTGGGTAGTCAATTGGGCCTGTGGGCACACAAACCCTCTTAGCACAGCCCTCTCCACCACAAAACTGCCCACACTCAACACCCCAAGCCTCTTTCCTGACCCCCACTGGCATCCCCATGCCACCCCCACAAAATGACACTCTGCTCTTCTGCACTTTGCACAAAAATGTATTTCTGTGACATCCCAAAGTACAGACATTTCCCCAGGTCCCTGGTGGTAAAGCGATGTGATGTGAGCTCTGCCTAGGGCTTGGCAGGGGCCAGAAAGGGCCTGGGGTGGAAAGGAGGGGCTGAGGTGGCCCATCCGCCATACTGGGGAACACAGGGCTAGGCCCTCTTGCCCCACCCAGGGGCAGAGGTTCCTGGAGGAGGGGCAACTTGCCTCTCCCTGAGTCCTGCTAACCTGGCCTGTGCTGCCTACAGGCAGACCCGGGAAAGAAGAGGGAGCAGAAAGCCACCCTGAAGGTTAGCCGTGTTCCCCAGGCCTGCTTCTCCCACACCGCCTCCTCATCACCCATGTGTCCCAGGAGAAGCAATTGCCAGTTACAGCAAGGGAGGTGCACAAGATGTTGGAGACATGGCTGCCTCTCATGTGTCTGCAACACAGCACAGGGACACGGCACAGCAGCTTCCCAGGGACAATTGGGGTGGGCAAAAAGGCAGGGAGGGCCATCCAAGTGCTGGTCTGGAGGTGGCTGCCTCAAATGGCTTCCTGCCTCAGAGAGAGCTAGGGGGCCCTCTGGACGGCAGGGCAGGCAGGGGCGAGTGAGGCAGGCTCAGTTCTGCTGGTGGGAGTGCCTGGGCACCTTGGGTGCTGTGGGCAGGTAAGGGCTGCGGAGCGAGGGAGCCAGCCCCTGGCCCTGGGAGGTGCAGGGTTCCAGAGCTGGGGCAGGTTCTGGGTATTTGGCAGAAGAGGCAGCGGAGTCTGCCCGACTTCTGACCATCCCTGGGCCGGGGCCTTCAAAAGCCTGGGGCCTGAGAGAGACTCAGAGGCAGCCTCCATAGCAGCGTGGCCGCAGGCAGGCCTGACCAGAGAGCAGTGGGCCACTACTCCAGGGGCCTCAGGGGCAAGGGCTGCTTGGCCCTAGGCCTGGAAACAGCTCACTGTCCTGCCCCTGACGGTTCACAGCCGGGAGCACCAAGGCTTCAGGGAGACCCAGTGGGGTTAGTTTTAATCCCTAAGCCCCATCAGCCGCACCTAGGAACCCAGATGGGAATCTCAGACATGGGTGGGCGGCATAGGGTGCTAGGCGGGTGGACAGAAGTCAGGCCAGGGTCTGAGCTCACTGGGAAAGGACCGGACACTCACAACGTTAGTCTGGCTGGGGCAGGAGTGAGTGTGGCAGCGATGAAGGCTTGGAGCTGGGTGGAGAATGGCCAAGGAAGCTGCGGGGACTCAGGAGGGTGCTTTTGCTTTTGTACAGAAATCATACACACAAAACTTCACACTGCCTAACAAAAAATAATATATATATATAATATATATATATCTCACTAATGTCAAGGAAAAGCATCGCTTGTGCAAAAGTCCCCTCTGTCTCTTCGTCCCATGGGAGGCTGTGGAAGGCGCCTGCCCGCTGGGCCACGTGAATGCTTCCTCCCAGCCTGTGGTCCGAGCAGTGGCAGCCGGGGGCTGGAGGCCTCTACCTGGACGTGTCCATGTTCTCCTCTCTAAAGTTGCTGCAGTGCTCAATCACTTTGCTGGAGGCAACAAGGGAGAGAGGGTTGGAGGTGGGTGAGCCTGTTCCTTCTGGGGACCCGCAGCTGGTTAGCAAGTGCTAAGAGTGATGCCGAGCTGGGGGCATGGCTTAGTGGTAGGACACTGCCTAGCATGTGTAAGGCCCCAGGTTCCATCACCAGCACCTCACACAAACAAAGAGTGATGCTAATACTGACCGAATGATGTGCACAGTGATGTGCAGAGCACCTGCAGAGTACCTGTGGGTACCTTTGATGCTTGTCTTCCCCTCCTTCCTTCCTGTGCTCCCCTAATCTCCACCCTCAGTCCCAGTACATCTGTAGACACGATGCCCCAAGAGCTCAGGCCTGGCCTCCCAAGCCCTTTGGTCCTTTCTTTAATAATACCTCCCCTTTCCATTTTCCCTACACATGGGACCTTCTTTTTTCCAGTAGTCAACTGGAAGTTTCCAAATTGATTGCATGTCAGGTTCACAAAGAGAGACTTGCTCAGGCAGCAGGTCTAGGCGGAGAGGGCAGCTGTGTAGGCTCAAGGGTCCCTGAGGCTCACAGCAGTGTCCAGCTCAGTAGCTCAGTCTTTTGCCACTCCAGCTTCACCCCTGGGGAACTGCAGCCACTGCTGCTGGTTGTCACCTTGGACCCTGAACTGCTTTCCCAATCAGCACAAAGCATCTGGGTTTGGGGTCCACTTCAGCCTCCATGTGCCAAAAGGGCCTTTTCAGAAGGAAATGCAGAGTGGGCCAAGGAGCTGTAGCAGGCCCAGTGCCTTCTCCTGTTCTCTCCAGGCTCACTTGTTCCTGGCTGGTGGCCCAGACACATGTCTCAGCCTTAGGAAGCATTCGAGGGTACTGGCTAGTCTTAACTAGTGCTTCTCAAGCGCCTCCCTGTTTATCACAGATATTATCAGCCTACCTCCCAGGCCTACCAGGAAAGAAGACCTAGGGGAGGGGCCTGACCACTTCTCACAATCTTTCCTGGTGATTCTTTAGGAAGATTCAGTCTGAGAACCACTCATTTACCATTTCCAGTTTTAGCTCAACCTTTGAGTTACACAGTTTCACCAAAAGTGATGGCAGAAGCAGTGGACGCCGGCAGCCCAGCACATCATTGTCTGGGGGACCTCTGCGCTCCAGTCCCCTCCTCCACACCATGCTCACTCTACACCTGTTCAGAGTTATGACCAAAGTCCATGGGTGACTATCCTCCCTTCTAAAACGTTCTAGAATGAATCCTAAGGAAGTTGTTACTGCTGATTCTGACATGTGACATCCCTGAACCCTTCTATGTACTGACAGAGCTGATGTTTTATTTATTTATATATTTCTCTCTATGTGTGTGTATGTGTATGTATATGTGTATATATATATATATTTTTTTTTTTTTGATGGGTCTGGGGTTTGAACTCAGGGCCTCAAGCTTGCTAGGCAGGTGCTGTATCACTTGAACCACACTCCCCCAACCCTTTTATGCAGTAGTTATTTTTTAGGTATGGTCTCAAAGTTTTACCTGGGGCTGGCTTCAGATTGTGATCTTCCTACCTATGGCCTCCTGTGTAGCTAGGACCACAGGCACATGCCACACTCCTGGCTTGTTGATTGAGATGGAGTCTCTCTAACTTTTTGCCTAGGCTGGCCTCAAACCTTGAAGTTCCTGATTTTTGCCTCCTCAATAGTTGGGATTATAGGCGTGAGCCACCTCACCCAACCTCTGATGTTTTAGACCCAGTAATGAAACTAACACAGAAACGAAAGACAAAACACTCTGTATGTCCATGACTTTCACATTGATTTTGTGTGTGTGTGTGTGTGTGTGTGTGTGTGGTGTGTGTACATGTACACGTGTGTGCGTGCTGGGAATTGAACCCAGAGCCTTGAGCGTGCTAGGCAAGTGCTCTACTGCTGAACTGTATTTCTAGTCCAATAGAGGGTAATGACTTTTCCTTTTTCCCTATGGCCTTCACATGTACACTTAAATTCAGAGAAACTCACGCATACCCTGCTCCATCTGACCTCCTGAGTGTAGCTTACTATACAGTCCTCTTCCATTGCAGTGCCTTTGGCCAAAAATAATGAAAGTTCTGACCTGACTTGCTCATGCTCCAAGATAAGCATGGAATTGGTGGGGATAAAAGTAAACTAAGTAATGCTCTGTTCAGAATTCCATCATCTACTTTCCTGCCACTTTGTGGCTGAGATGAAACTTGGAGAGGTCCCAGCTGGACAGACACACTGACCACCTCCATACGCAACCCTGAGTGACCTCTGGAAACTTCGGCCATTCCTAAGTACCAGAGGGACCGTTGTGTCCCTACTCCCCCCACAGCGAAGTGCCAAGCCGAAACCCATTGTTTGTCTCTTACCGGGCCATTTCCTTGGTCTCCTGCCGGGCGGTCGCCATCTTGATCATGTCCCTCAGAAGAGGCATCCCACCTTCTTTGATCAGCAGGGGGCAGTACTTGTCAGCTGTGAAGCAATATCAGATAGCGGATAATGGGGTAGGTCTTCTATCAGCCTGTGCCACAGGAACCCACACTTGCTTCAAGGTCTTACTCTAAATGGGCAGCCTGGGTTGGAAAGACATGACTGGGGGCTGGCATAAGCCACGTTTGCTCAGCCTGTGGGAGAGCAGGGGTGAGCTGGGGAAGACTATTCCCTGCTGAGGACCCAAGTTATTTCTAAGGACAGTATCATTGCACTGGCTTAGGGCCTAAACCAGTGACCCTATACACAGTGACCCTCTGAGGAGTTTTAGACACAGTACAGGCTCTCAGTCTCTGCCCCCAGGTACTGACTCACCAGATCCTGGGGCATGCATGTCTGGTTGTATGGATCCAGGCATCATGTGTATACTTATTTATTTTTCAAGACAGGGTCTTGCTTCATAGCCCAGGCTGGCCTGGAATTTGAGATACTCCAGCCTTAGTTTCACGAATGCTGGGATTAGAAGTCCTGTGCCACATGCCTGGCTTGCCTATATTTATTACATTCTTTCTTTTTTTGTTGATGTTGTTGTACTGGGCTTGAACTCAGGGCCTTCACCTTGAGCCACTCCATCGGCCCCATTTTTGTGAAGGGTTTTTAGAGATAAGGTCTCTTGAACTATTTGCCCGGCTTGACTTCGAACTGCGATCCTCCAGATCTCTGCCTCCTGAGAAGCTAGGATTACAGGCGTGAGCCACCAGCAGTGGCTATTGCATTCATAATAAAACACCACTGGGTGATTCTGGTGACCAGCCAGGCTGGAACCATGGCTACTGCTCTGTCATGTAGACAGTAGGGCAACTTCTGACTGTTCACTCGTATGGGACAGGAAGCATAAGGAAAGCCGACTGGAAACTCTGGATGGATGGGAACACTTCTGGTGGTACCACAAGGGCCAGGCAACACACTGCCATCCCACAGCCCAGCATGGGGAGGTCTTTGCTCTGAGGCATAGGCCCATCTGGATTCAGCTGGGGGTGTGTGAACCAGGGGAGTAGGCACTCACGGTAGACGGATACAAGGTTGTAGAGGGCCCAGGTGGCCCAGTGCTGGCTGACAGGAGAGATGCCCTGGGGAAGGAGGCGAAGAATTGGCTCAAATGACCTGCAGAGAGAGAAACCCAGGTCACTAGGATTTGGGGAGTGGGGAAGTGAGTCTTTTCTCCCTGAGACTCCTCCTCCAGAAAGGGCCTAAGGACAAACATATACAGGCCTGAAGGATGCAGGAGAATAGGCTCCTGGCCTTCACCCCACCGCCCCCAGGGGACTCCCTTGAGAGAGCAGAGCAGGTGAGGGAAGCAGAAGGTTGCGGAACTGGGGACCTCAGCAAATGGCAGAGACCCAGCCTTGGGGGTGGGGAGAAGCAGAAGACAGGGTGACTACACCTCCCACAACCACTTTGTTTGGGCCAACCTGGAGTCACAGCCCAAAAGTACGATACCTGGACAAGTAAAAGCTCCTGGGCTAGCACCAGGCCCTGGGTTCACCCCTAGTACCGCAAAACAAATCAACAAGAAAGCAAAACCAAAAAACCTTCCCAGAGGCCAGTAATTCCACTTCTCGCCCAGGAACTACAGCATTAGGAGAAAAGCTGCTGAACTCCATCCCCTAAGTGAACCTTCAACTTAACCAATCACCCATTGTGCCACCACACCTTCAATCCCAGCACTGGGAGGTTGAGGTAGAGTTCAAGGACAGCCTGAGCTACACAGTGAGACCCCATCTCAAAAAACAAAAACAGGCTGGGTGCTAGTGGCTCATACCTATAATCCTAGCTATTTTGGAGGCTGAGATCAGGAGGATCATCGTTTGAGGCCAGCCCAGGCAAAACAGTTCAAGAGACCCCATCTCCAAAATAACCAGAGCAAAATGGACTGGAGGTGTGGCTCAAGTAGTAGAGCACCTGCTTTGCAAGCAATGAGTTCAAAACCCACTCCCACCAAAAAAAATAAAACCAAAACAAACAAGATGGTGTGAAGAACAGGACTTAAGTCGTAGGACAGTGCAGAAGACCAGTGCCTAGTGATGGCAACTCAGTCACAGTACAGAAAGAACTGAGGCCAGCGTATCGTAAAGGAATGAAATCTGCGTTGCACAGAAAAACTACTGTCAGGGAGATGCTGAAAGTCTGCTGGGTAAAGAATTAAATGAAACAAAACAAAACAAGAGCACGAGTCAACAGGGTCTCTGTCAGTGTTGCTTCCTCTTGCATAAGAAGCAGTTGCACAGTGCAGGCCTGACAAGGAGGAAGGGTGCTATGTGTGCTGTGCTCTGCCGTAGGGCTGCACCTTGGTGAGGGAGAAGGGGCACCTGTAGTTGATGTTCCTGCGCGAGTTGGTATCCCAGCTCTGGATGGCTGCCCACATGCGCTCCTCCACCTCCTCCCGCTGCGGCTCGCAGACGCCCCAGGCCGCGGGCCCATCGAACATGACGTGGGACAGGACGCCGCAGGCGTTGTAGGAAACCTCGATCCCATCTGCCTTACTCTCTAGCAGGTTGCTGCCAAGAGGAAGAAAGAGACAGGGAGCCCAGCCCTCTTAGATACCGCTGCTGGACTGCAGTTTAAGCCAGGTGACAGAGGCCCGCCCTCCCTCCTTCCTTCCTTCCTTCCTTCCTTTCCTTCTGAGACAGGGTCTCACTAGGTAGCCTAGGTTGGCCTTGAACTCAATTTGCAGCCCAGGCTGGCCTTAAACACAAGATCCTCTTGGCTATGCCCTAAGTGCTGGGATTATGGACATGCTCCACTATACTGGGTGCTCATTATTTAGAGAATACTTGATTATTTTCTATAATAAAACTCACAAAGATAAGACCTCACATATTTAATACAGTGTGTTATATGTACTGTTTCTAGATGAATATGGCTGTTAATTTCTGTTCAATGTCAATGCAACACGGTAAACTGGGATACTTTTTTCCAAAGTTGTTGGCACAGCTAAAGTTAACAAAAATTCAAACTATATACACACATATATATACATATGTATCTATACATTTATTTCTATGAAAAGATGACAGCAGTATGTTATACATCAATAATAGCAACAGCTTTTCCAAGTTCTGCAGTTGTCTGAAATCACAAAGATGTCCAGCACACTCCATTAAAGAAAAAAAAAAAAGAAAAAGTAATGAACCACCTCAGAAAACAGCAAAATTCTGTTACCTGGCACCATTTTTTTTTTATTAGCTTCTCAATCACCATCTGGAAAGAGAACATTCTAGAGGAACATAAAAATAGCTCTGATAAAGCATGGGCACTACTAAGTATCATAAGCAGGTGCAAGATAGTTTCCACTCAGAGCGGTGTGACAAGGTACTGTCCTATGTCTATAATACTAGAAGGTACATTTGAGAGAGATGATTTTGGGTTGGCAGAGTGGCTCAAGTGGTAGGGTGCCTGCCTAGCAAGCATGAGCCTCTGAGTTCAAATCCCAGTACCACCAAAAAAAAAAAGAGAAAGAGGTATGATTTGAGACTTTGTTTTATGTTACCAGCAGAGGGCTCAGAGGATGGGATGGCACAGCTCTGTAAAGAAATGCACTTTCTGCTGGGAGCAGTGGCTCATGCCTGTAATCCTAGCTACTCAGGAGGCAGAGATCAGGAGGATCGAGGTTCAAAGCTAGTAACAGTTCTTGGGACCCTATAACCTATTTCGAAGAAAACCTATCACACACAAAAAAAAAGGGGCTGGTGGAGTGGCTCAAGGTGTATGCCCTATACTGCAAAACCAAAACCAAAACCAAAAAAAAAAAAAAAAACGCACTTTCTTACACAGGATATCCTCTCATCAGTGGCACTGTTCAGTATTCACTCTTTTCATGACTATCAGCTAAAAACCATTAAAAACAAAAAGCCAGGAAAAAAAAAAACCCTCAAAACTAAAAATACAATTATTAGAGTCACATGCAGATGACCGTGCGAAGACAAGCAAGACTCAGTCTAACAAAAGTGCTCTGCTAAATCTGTCACTTATGAGTGGTGACAACACCATGGAAGAAAGGAGATGCCAAGCAGTGCTGCGAAGCTTCAGTCCACCATGCAAACATGCAGCACCTTGCACAGAAGTAGTGGCCAAGTGTTGCTCGTTGGATGTATTCAAGGCTCTGGCATCAGTAGTCAGTGATTTCACAGCATTTATTTCCTCATCATTAATCCTTATAATCATACTCATTCTGTTTTTTCTTTTTCTTCTGGCAGCACTTGGGTTTGAACTTGGCCTCATACTTCCTAGGCAGGTACTCAATTCTTGAGCCATTCCAACAGTCCTTTTTTGTGATGTATTTTTTCGAGATAGGATTTCACAAACTATTTTTAGCTAGGATTACAGGCATGAGCCACTGGTGCTCAGGCAGTCCTCCCTTTTTAAAGATGAGGAATCTGAGGCTCACACAGGTACAATGACTGTCCCAGCTTTGTGGGTTTTTTTTGGGGGGGACTGGTCTACGTAGACCAGCATTGAATCTCAATCCTCCTGCCTCTACCTCCTGAGTACGGACATGTGCCATACCAACACAGACTCATTCTAAAGGGCCTTTTTTTTTTTTTTTTTTTTTTTTTGTGGCACTGGGGTTTGAACTCAGGGCCTTATGCTTGCTAGGCAGATGCTCTTACCATTTGAGCAACCCTACCAGCCCTTCTAAAAGGGATTTGAGATTACTTAACATATAGTTACAGGAGGATCATTTATGGCAGGATGAAAGAATAAGAAAACACATAGAGGGAAGACAACATTTGTAACAGAAATCTAGGCTAAAAGCAGTTGTGACTCCCCTAAGCACAGAGTACAGTTCTGAGCATCTTGGCAGTCAAGGAAAAAGGGGAAGGCAAGAAGGACTAACCTGAAGACACTGATGAATTGGGAAGTCATTAGCTGTGGCCGCAGCTCCTTCACCTCTGCCACATTGCCCAAGAGCCCCAGCATGTTCCGATGTAGTTCCTGCTTCTCTGGGAATTCCTGGCAAAGTGAGAGAGGTTGGGGCTACTCAAACCCTGCTTCATTACTGAACGCTTGGAGAGCACCTGTCTGGCCATTCCAGTTAGACAAAGGAAGGCTACAGTAGTCTGCCCCTACTTTCTAGTGTTGGGACAAGTGTAGTTCCATCTACCACAAAACAGATTATTAGTTTGTGGGGGCCCCTCAGAAACTATGACAGAGAGAGCGTTTTAGAATGGCAGACAGTCTTACTGGACAGAATTCTGTCCACTGATATGGGAATGGGCTCCTGCCAGCCATGGGCAGTCTGAGAAGTGATCCCTGAGAAGACGGAGGACCTCAAGAGGGTCCGGTCAGGTGGTATCAGACTGGGGAGGTCTGTGGAGCTCCAGTTAGCCACACATCCCACTGGAAGAAGCCCCCAGGCCAGGGCTGGGAGCATCACGTGGGCATTGGGTGGCCCTGAGAGGCAGGGTCTACCTTCAGGCAGTCCAGGAAGAGCTTCATGCCATTGAAGTTGAGAAACATCTCACAGTTGTCAGGCGTCTCATCCGTGATATTCCACAGGGCACTCCAGGAGAACTCCATGACCTGGTCACACTGCAAGGGGACGCAGGGTTCAGCCACGGCTCTGGCTCCCGAGGAGACACAGACACCCCCAGGGTCAGCAGTCCCTCAGGCTGGGGCAGGGACAGAGTAGCTGTGCAGCTCTGACTTACTGTCTTGTCCAGCAGCTTCTTCTGAATCAGCTTCAGCATGGTCTGTGGGCAGAGGAAAGAGCTTGGCAGAAGGCTGGCCATGGCTGTGGACCCCAGCGTGGACAGGGTAGTCAGTGATTTGTTCCTGATAGGATCCATCCTCTGCCTCTTTGGCGGAGACTCTTTGAAGGCATTCAAAGCCTAGACCCTTGGCACTGGCACTAAGAGGCCGGGGGGGCTGGTCCCGGGCTGAGGCTGACTCCTATGTGACTTTGGGCATTGCCCTTCCTTGCAGTGGCCTATGCTTCTCCAGCAGTGACGGTAGCATGGAGACTGCTTTGGTTCCCGCCTTTCTTTCCTTCCTTCTGCAGCAGTATTTACCCCGTCCCACTCACTGCACTCCAGGCCCTAGGCTAGCCTGCTCTGATGAGGCTAGGCAGTGCTATGGACAGTGACAGAAGGACAAGCTCTGCAGCCTGCCCACAAAGCTTACCACCTAAGCTGGCACTGGAGGCCTGACTGAGCATACTCACTCAATCCCAGCTGGCATGCACATGGTGACACTCAATCTGCTCTGAGGAGACAGAAGTGGTAAAGTGGGACCTGATGGATAAGTGGAGGGGCTGGGATCAGTGGACAAAATCTATGGGGTCACAAGCAGCAGTCACCACTAAGGACATTTTTCCAGGGTTGGTGGTTGAGCGCAATAGTAGAACACTTGTCTACAATGGCCCCAAGTTTCATCCCCAGCACCACAAAAACAAAAACAGAGAGAGCCACTTCCTTTGGTCTAATCTAAAGCATTTGTGCTTCAGCAAACCTCTCTTCCTCCCTGCTCCTACCTCCCAGCCCTGGCCTTTCTCTGCCACCATCTCAAAGTGATGGAGTCATACAGTGTGCAGGAGAGGGTTCTGCCGTCACTGGGAGGGAGGGGGTGGGGGGGCAGTCAGCCACCCCACACATACCACGACAAAGCCCATCTTTCCCACGGCCTCCTTGTGGTCATTGTCCACCTGGCAGACCAGGGCGTTGCACAGGTGCACAGCAATGCGCTGGATAGACTCGTCCTGACGGGTGGGGTTGAGGATGCTGAGTAGGAGCTCATTGACCCGGCGGTACTGGAACTCCAGCTCCTCGGGGATGCTGAAGTTGCAGAGGGTCAGACAGCAGTTCCGCTGTACCTGGGCCAGGACAGGAGGCAAGTGTAGTGTGTTTAGGGGCGGCCTCACCAGGAAATGCCAGGCGGTTTGCCAAGGTGACTGTGCCAGTCTGCACTCCCACCAGCAGCAGGCAATCCTCTGGCCCCTCCACACCCTCACCTTCCCTCAGCGCTGTCTATCTTTACAACGTTCGAAGCCCATTTTGTCTGTCATTTCCTTTCCTTCCTTCGCCATTAGACACTGGAAGTCCATACTGTATTAGTCATGTAATTTAAAGGACATCACCCTTCACTGACTTTTCCTCCAACATCTCTCTCTCATACACACACATACACATACACACACACACACACACACACACACACACACACACTCACATACTCTAGGCTTTTTTTTGAAGTGCTGAGAATCAAACCCAGGGCCTCATGCATATGAGGCAAGCCTTCTATCACTGAGCTTTACCTGCAACCCCATATAATTTTTAACTTGAGAAAAAGTTTGCTTTAAATTATAAAAGCAAAACATACTATCAAAAGTTTGCATAATGCTGCCTAAGCAGAACGTTAGTCTTCCATTTCTTTCTTTTTTTTTTTTTCTTAAGTTATTTTTTTTTGAGACAGGGTCTTGCTATATAGCCCAGGCTGGCCCTGATCTCTTGATCCTCCTCCCTCAGCCTCCCGAGTGCTGAGATTACAGATATGCACCACCACACTTCACCAGTCTCTAGTTCATCCCCTAGAAGTAACCACTGTTAAGTTTGGTGTACATTCTTCTAGATTTCACCATAATGCAAATATAAACATATATTTGGGGTGGGAGGTATAAAAGAGACTATTATACAGATTGATCCAAAGTATTTCTTCACTTATAAATATGCTGCAGTAGACATCTTACCATGGAGGCTTTCTATGGTAATAGTCCATTGTATGGACGGACTATATATTACTTTTCCATGTCCCTGTTCCTAAAACCTTGGCCTTTCTGGGGGTACAACTTAGGTCTATATACCAAATGCTTAAAATTACACATACCCATTTCCCATGCAATTAGACTTCTAGAATGTCTTACAAGAATAAGCAATTAAGAATAGTCAGCAGCCAGGCACTGGTGGCTCACACCTGTAATCCTAGCTACTCAGGAGGCAGAGATCAGCAGGATCATGGTTTGAAGCCAGCCCAGGGAAACAGTTCATGAGACCCTATCTCAAAAAACCCTTCCCAAAAAAGGGCTGGTGGAGTGGCTCAAGGTGTAGGCCTGAGTTCAAGTCCCAGTATCACACACACAAAAAAAAGTCAATTCAGTAAAGGACTGTTTGAAAAGTCAAAGATAAAAAGCAGCCTCATTGTTCAGGCCCAGGGTTTCCACATGGCAGATCCCTTCCTTGCAAGTGTGGGAGTGAGGCTTGGCCACTGCCTCCAGGCTCCAGCACAGGCCACGCTGAGCAGCCTCTTCTGGGACAAGTATACTGAACACTGCTGGAGTCAACAACAACCAAGCAGTCATTAAAGCCAGCTCTATCTGAGGACAAGATAGGACTGTGAATGACTCTCACTTTCTAAGCAATTCACTCCTGTATTACTTGAAGTTTTTTGTTCATTAAGCACTAAGTATCTTGCTTTTGTAATCAGAAAAGAGCCATCATTAAAAAAATTGGTTAAACTGGGTGCCAGTGGTTCATGCCTGTAATCCTAGCTACTTGGGAGGCTGAATACAGGAGGATGTCTATTCAAGGCCAACCTGGGCAAATCTGAGACCCCATCTCCAAAACAACCAAAGCAAAATGAACTGGAGGTGTGGCTCAACTGGTAGAACACCTGCTTTGCAAGTGTGAAGCCCTGAGTTCAAACTCCAGTCCCACCAAGAAAAAAAAAAAATTGGTTGACAAAAGGTTTGCGAGATGTTCAACCTTGGAAAACACTGATGAAACAATTATCCATGGATATACAAACAGTACACAGGGTGTAAATGACCCCACTTGTTAAATAGTATGTACAGACTAAAATTCAGAACAATAGATACCCAATGCTAACAAAGCTATCTCTGAATGGTGGGATTATGTGTGATTTTTATGTTCTTTGTATCTATGATTGTAATTGTTGTGTGGTAAAAAATTATTACCTTTATTATAAAAACAGCTATTAGAAAAAATATACCCCCAGCAGAGTGTTATGGGGCAGAAGGGCTAAGGAAACAGCATAGTCGAGGCCCAGAGGCAGGAGGCTGGAATCCCCAGGCCTCTGTGTGGAGCAGAGTAGCAGATGGTGGGATGGCTGTGGGTGATGGACTGCTGGTGGGGCTGGGTTCCAGTATCCTGCACGACAGGTCAGGAGTCTGGGAGGGCTGCTGTGGGAAGGGAACTGGGCAGGAGGCAGCCCACAGCCAGGTGAGCCCCTGAAGGACCTGCGGACGTGGGAGCATGAGGGGTAGGAAGGGGGTGGCTGGGCCAAAGCATGCGGGCCGTGGTGGGCAGGGGGCTCACCGTCACCTCCTGGTAGGATTCCATGCCATTCAGCACCACCTGGATGACCTGCCGGCGCAGCTTGACACTCTGCTCTGAGCGGTACTCGGAATTGGTCAGGTAGAAGAGGGCGGCGCTGCCGGTCACTTGAATGTTCTTATCATACTTATGGCACTTGAGGGCCGTGATGACCAGCTGTGAAGACAGGGTGGGAGCCTGGGCTGGAAGTGTTGTGAGTTGAGCAGGGATAGGCCTGGGCTTTGTGAGGGGCTGGGGGCGGTCCTCAGGGCCAGGGTTGACCCTGGTCCTGTTCTCCCAGAGCACACATGGAGCTGGGGAGCAGGAACTCGGGTGAGGCATGAATGACGCAGTGGGGAAATAAGTCACACACTGCCAGGTGGGATTGGGGTTTGGAAGGCACGACTGCCTGTTCCCTGGGGATGAAGAGGAGGGTGTGGAGCGACACGGGGTGGGGTCATGGCTCAAACAAGTTCAGCACCCTTCATGGGGGGTGGCCAGGAGCCTGAGCCCCAGGATCAGAGCTGACCTTCAGGGCCCGCAGAAGTTGATTGCAGCGCTCAATGCGTGCGATGTCAAAAAGCAGGTTGATGGCCCGTGATGTGATCTCAGGCCGGTGTTCTGTGTAGGCCTCAATGGCGTTCAGCACCTGCTCCTCGTTTTTGTCACCACTTACCTAGGGATGGGGCATGCTCAGGATATGCAGAAGAGGCCAGAGGGTAAGACCCTCAGATCCCAGCTTAGTCGCTGGTCCCTGACACTATGTGCCCCTGCCCAACATATCCCTTCTCCCGGGAACCCACTCCTTCCCTCCTCCACTCCTGCTTCTCACTTTGTAGGCTGGAATGTGAGTGAGGCGGCACAGGGAGGTCTCGAAGAGCCCAAGGAACTGCAGTGGCCTCTTCAGAGCCCGGAAAGGCACAATGCTGCTCTTGGAAGGCTCGATGCTGGGGAAGAGCATGCTGGGGTCAGTGGTTTGGGGTCAGGCCTGACTGCGTTTCCCTGGGGGACTAAGGCATTTACCAATGCTCTCTCTTCTGGACCCCAGCCTCTTTTTCTTTTCTTTTTAAGGGTAGGGGACATAGACCCCCGCCCCCTTGATGGAAGGGTGGCAAAGGCACATTGTAGAGGAACACCTAGGATGGGACAGTGCTGTAGTCATCTTCAGAAAATACTATCTGCCATTCTAGTAAGGAGGTGCTGCCCCTAGGTTTCACCAAAAGTCACAAAAGGACAAGCTCATCAGGTGGGAGAGGGTTTATGGCCAATGGCAGTGGCTAGGTTTGAAGCAGAGCTCGCCACCAGCCCACCTGGCCACCAATCAGCCACAGTAACACATAATGAGCAGCAGATACTGCCAGCCTCTTCTTCTCCTGCCACACTGTGCTCCACCAGTCTGAGCACCACTGGCTTTCCAGGAGTTCAGCCTCTTACCTCCCAGCTTGGCACATGCTGTCCCCTCTGCTGGAACACACCTCCTCCAGCAAACTTAGAATGGCTTTCAGGACAGCCCAGTGCCTTTCCTCTTGATCTTCAGGGCCACCCCAGAGCCTGTGCTTCCTTCACTATGGCCCCCAGAATGACTGGGGTGGCTCACACAGGCCCACAGAGGAAAGAGACTGACTTGCTTATCTCTAGCACCCAGCACAGCACATGCAGAGGGGCACCAGGTAAGTGAATGGCTCAGAGAATGGTACAGAGGTGGCCTACCTTGTCTGGCCCGCCTCCTCTTCCATCTTGGAGATGCTGCAGTTCTCCAGGATCATGTGGCCAGAGATGTCCAGGGACATGAGGTTCCCCAGCTTCTGCACAAAGAGGCTGAGCACCTTCCGCGTCAGCTTGAACTTGTAGTAGCTCGAGAGGCGGTCTCGGGAGATGTCCAGGTGTCTGCAGGTTGGGCAGGGGCCACCGGTCAGGATCCTGCTCCTTCAGTCCACAGCAGGGAAGGGCCTATGCCTGCCACAATTACTCCACAGAATTCTGGGAAAGGGCCCTGCTGAGACCCAAGTGCCCTAAATAGCTCTCATCTAGCTGAAACACCTCCAGCCCTGCCCTCTGCTTAGCCAGGTCTGCTGTACCCTCGGGAATTGACAGCACGCCCCCTGCATGCCCTACCACCCTGCCCTGGTGAGCTCAGCTGGCTCGCAGCTCACCGCAGCTTGTGTAGCTGGACAATGACGCGGATGTGGTCATCCGAAAGGTCCATGTTGTAGAGCACGAGCGATACCAGGCTGTCCTTCCACTGGGTTAGGAAGGCGGCGTCACTTGTCTGAATGCCTGAGAGGTCCAAGGCAGCCAGCGAGTTGAGCGGCCGCAGCAGTGACTCCACAGGGACCCCATCGATCATGCGGCCCAGGTTGAGGAAGCGGAGGCGGCTAAAGCCCTCAAAGGTGAAGTCCTTGACCAGCACCTGGCAGGTGGGGTTGACGAGGCACTCGTCTTCACAGCCCCCTGGGTTCTCCTCCTCATAGAAAATGTTTGCGCAGCCGAAGAGGCTCAAGGATACCAAGGTGTGGCTGAAGCTACGCAGCGTTTGCAGGCTCTTGGCAGACAGCTTCTCGCAGTTGGTCAGGTAGAGCTCCACCAGGTCCTGGGTGTAGGCACAGCTCCATCAGCACCACCGCCAGCCCTGCCCCTGCCCCTGCCTATAGGTGGCTGGGAAGGGGTTTGCCCACAGGGACAGTGCTGAGGATAAGCAGCCCTGCTCCTGCTCACTGTCTGGTCCTCTTGGCTGGCCTCC